CCTAGAACAACGGAGAAATTCCCTCAATTATGAGAAGAATGCATCACTTGCCTCCAGACGTTGTGGCTGCTCCATCGCTGGAGGTTTTCAAGAAGAGACTGGACAGCCATTTGTCCAGAATGATATAGGGTCTCCTGCTTGAGCAGGGGTTGGACTAGAAGACCTCCAAGGTCCCTTCCAGTTCTGTAAACCAGTAATGTTGGGTCCCTGATGGATCATTCTCTCATTTCTTTTTCATCAAAGAAGACCTTAACCCTAGAGAAAATCTGAATTCTTTAACTTTGTACCAACATTTCTGTCTATCTATCTATCTCTGTCTCTGTCTACCTATCATCTATCTCTATATCTGTCTGTGTCTGTCTGTCTGTCTGTCTGTCTGTCTGTCTGTCTGTCTGTCTGTCTGTCTGTCTGTCTGTCTATCTATCTATCTATCTATCTATCTATCTATCTATCTATCTATCTATCTATCTATCTATCCTCTCTCTCGTATCTATATCTGTCTGGCTATCTGTCTGTGTTTATCTACCGTCTATTTCTATATCTGTCTGTCTATCTTCATCTGTCTGTCTGCCTACCTGCCTACCTGCCTGTCTCTCTCTCTCTTGTATCTCTCTCTCTCTCATCTATCTCTATATCTATTTATCTATCTGCCTACCTCTCTCTCTCTCTCTCTCTCTCTCTCTCTCTCTCTCTCTATATATATATATATATATATATATATATATATAGACAGACAGACAGACCTACCTACCTACCTACCTACCTACATACATACATGTAGATAGGTAGGTAGGTAGGTAGGTCAGTCGGTCAGTCGATCGGTCTATCTATCTATCTATCTATCTATCTATCTATCTATCTATCTATCTATCTATCTATCTATCTATCTATCTATCTATCTATCTATCTACCTTCCTACCTAACTACCTAACTACCTATCATTATCTACCTGTCACATGGCAATTCACGTCTCCCCACAATGTACCCACCAGTCCTCCTCAACGGAATACAACTGATCATGCTGCTTGGCCATTTGGGGGGAGTTGTAGCCCGGCCCTTCTGGGTGTCAATGGCACTGAGAAGACTCCATTCCCCACCCTCTTCCTTCACCCCAGATTTCATTAGTTGCAACAACGCTGCTTTCGGAGGACCCTCCACAATGCCTTTGAGTGCGATCTCTGCTTCTTTGTTTCCAAACAGCCTTGGGAGATGCCAGTGCAAAGCTGGAGCCACGGGGATCAAATGCCTCCAGTGCCAGGAAGGATTTTCCAAGTTCAACGGGACCACGTGCCAACCATGCCAGTGCAACAATCATTCTTTGCAGTGTGATCCTTTGACAGGTAAAACGGGGGTGCCGTGGGGCCGTTTTGTGTGTATGGGGGGGGTGCTCCCTAAGGAGCAGGGTTTTCCAGGAGGAACAACCACATGGCAAAATCTAGCTCAGATCATACAGGAGGAGAAGGCTTCGCTCAAGGCAGGACTGTCCTTCCTTTGGTCATCAGAGGTCCATCTCACCATTCTCTGATGGAACCTAAAGCAGCTTAGATTGGCGAGAAGGACTGAGAGTCTTAGCCTGAGGAACCTCAACCCAAATCACGATAAAAACCCATAATTTAACTGGTGGAACAGCTTGCCTCCAGAAGTTGTGGGTGCTCCAACACTGGAGGTTTTTAAGAAGCATTGGAAACAACCGTCAGTCTGAAATGGTACAGGGTTTCCTGCGTGAGCAAGAGGTTGGACTAGAAGACCTCCAAGGTCCCTTGGTCCATCTCGGTGATTCTGAAATAAAGAATTCAGAGGCGGATATTTTCAGCTCCTTTCCATGGAATGTCTCTTCACCTCCAAACTGCTGCATCATTTCTGTTAAGATTTTGTTTGGTATTTTTTTTTCTTTCTTCTTTTTTGCACGTAGGCGCTTGCCTTAATTGTCATGGAAACACCGAAGGCACTCACTGTGAGAATTGCAAAGGGCAATTTTATCGCAACCACTCCCAGCTCCACGAATGTCTCCGTTGCCCTTGCTCCACGGAGTTTTCCAGCGGCAGCTGTCAAATAAGTAAGGGGGTTTTCTTACAAGGTTTGAAGGGTGGTGGGCTTGAAGAGGTCTTCTCCTGTCTGGTTGGCACCTGATGAGAAGCTGTGGGGATCTGTGCTGGCCACGATGGGCTTTGAGGCTGATCTAGTTTGAGCTTGTAGACATTTAAGACGTCACTCGTACTCTCTGGGAGAAGTAAGTCTTGTGGACAAGTTACTGTGTCCACTCTGTGGGCAGAATAGTCCTTAGCCTCAACAACACGGTGATAGGCTGTTGTGTGGTGCGATGGCTGGATCTTCATCTCCCTCTGCCGGTCATTTGCTCTGCTTGCATTGACCAATCGGGTGGCTCACCCTGGATGGAGAAAGATCTCCCTCTTCTGGCTGGCCAGCTCAGCTGTGTAGAGAAGGATCAGCCACCATTGGGTGGCTGAGACCCAGCAGGATATCCTCACAACATTTTGGTCCAGAGACCTTCTTAGGATTCTTCTCTTGTCAGTTATCCCATCAAGTTCATGTTCAGATCTGGTCTTGGAGTTTTGGGTTGACTCCTCCTTTTCTTTCTTCTATACCCCTCCTTCTCCTTTCCTCTTCCATTCTTCCTTCATTCTCTCTCCGTTCCTCCTTTCTTCTTCCATTCCTCCTCCATTCTTTCTTCTTGTTTCCTCCATTGCTCCTCTATCTTCCTTCTTCCATTCTTCCTCTTCCTCCATTCTTCTTTTTTCCTCCATTCTCCTTCCTTCTTCCATTCTTCCTCCTCCTCCATTCTTCCTTCTCTTTTCCTCCATTCTTCTTCCTTCTTCCATTCTTTCTCCTCCATTCTTCCTTATTTTTTCCTCCATTCCTCCTCCTTTCTTCTTCCATTCTTCCTCCTCCATTCTTCTTTTTTCCTCCATTCCTCCTCCTTCCTTCTTTCATTCTTCTTCCTCCTCCATTCTTCCCTCTTTTCCTCCATTCCTCCTCCTCTTCCTCCTTTCTTCTTCCATTCTTCCTCCTCCTCCATCCTTCCTCCATTCTTCCTTATTTTTCCCTCCATTCTTCCTCCTCCTCCACTTTTTTCCTCCATTCTTCCATTCTTCTTCATCATCCATTCTTCCCTTTTCCCCTCCATTCCACCTCCTCCTCCTCTTTTCTTCTTCCATTCTTCTTCTTCCATCCATCCTTCCTCCATCCTTCCTCCTTTTTTTCCTCCATTCCTTCTCCTTCTTCCTTCCTCATCATGGAAACCAGCATGGAAAGCTCTCCTGGAGCTGTTGAACTAACTAACATCCTCTTCCCCAATCAGAGCCTGGTCAGCAGACCCCAACCTGTGACCAGTGCCGGCCTGGCTACGTCGGCCCTCTCTGTAATCAATGTGACAACGGCTACTACAGCTCGGACAGCGTCTGCCTCAAATGCCAGTGCAATGGGAACGTGGACCCAGCCCTTTCACCAAGAGTCTGCAGGGCAGATACGGGGGAATGCCTCAGTTGCCTCCACCACACAACTGGGCCTCATTGTGAGAAGTGTCAAGAAGGATATGTCAAACTGTTGGAAGGAGGGAACTGTACCAAGGAAGGTAGGGGTTTTTTTTTCTTCTCCCATTGAATTCACACATTCTAGGAGTGTGCTTAAATTACTACAGGGAAGTCCCTGGCTTACGACTATTTGGCCATCATTCAAAGCTACAACAACACAGGAAAAATAGCCACTTAACAACTAATCCTTGCACTTATGACCATCCCAGCGTGTCCAAAGTCGTGGGATCAAACTTCAGGCGCCTGGATTCACTTAACGGCCGTGAAAAGAAAGGTTGTAAAAGTGGAACTTGGCTCCCTTAAGCATCCCCTCACTTACCAATGGGAATCCTGGCCCCCATTTGTAGTCGTAAGCTGAGGACCGCCTGCATGGAGTTGGATGGGTGTGTTGAATAAGCAACAAGGGTACGATTCTAAACAAAAGAGGGGTTTAGACAAAACCGTATTCTACTTTAAAAGGATTTGTGAACCCAGGTTTTGAATGTCTATGGAGATTCTCAGTCACCCAGGTCATGGTTATCCCAAAGATGCTTTTTCAGGAGGCAACTGGACTTTCTTGTTTTTCTTTGAAGAACATTTCACTTCTCATCTAAGAAGCTTCTTCATCTCTGACTGGATGGTGGGGAATGGAAGGATTTATAGTCCTTGCAGACAGCTGGTCATTTGCCTTCTTTGAGAGAGTCGTTGAGGCCACTTGGTGGTTTATCTGTGCCCTCAGGGTCACCTGAGTGGTGCAAATGGATGTGGCGCTTTCTCCACCTACAGGGCAGAAAACATCCTGCAACCAAGAGGGCTCCACACCCATTTGCATCACTCAGGTGACCCTGAGGATACCGGTAAACCTCCAAGTGGCCTCAACGACTCTCTCAAAGAATGCAAATGACCAGCGCTCTGCAAGGAACATAAATCCTTCCATTCCCCACCATCTAGTTGGAGCTGAAGAAGCTTGTTGGATGAGAAGCAAAACGTCTTCAAAGAAAAAACAAGTCCAGTGCCTCTTGAAAAAGCACCTTGGGCCCAATCCCTGAACGTGAATCCTCCGTTGAACGGCTGAGCTGAATGCCTGGTTATCTGCCTTGCCTAATAACCGTTCACTTGTTTTCTTAAAAAAAAAATGTAGAATCTACTCTGGCCCCCAGGCTCATCCCTGCAGCTCCAAAGGTCAGTGCATCAACCATCTCACCTACAGTGGTCTTGAACAGCACATCGGGGCAGACCCCGGTAGAGACGGCTTTCCCAAGTCCATCTTCTGAAAACAGCACCTTGACGTTGGGGGAGGTCTCTTGGGCCCAGTTCAACATCATTATCCTCACCGTGATCATCATCCTGGTGGTGTTGCTGATGGGCTTTGTAGGCGCCGTCTACATGTACCGTGAATATCAGAACCGGAAGTTGAACGCTCCTTTTTGGACCATCGAACTGAAGGAGGACAACATTAGCTTCAGCAGTTACCACGACAGCATCCCCAACGCGGACATTTCCGGCCTGTTAGAAGATGACGGCAACGAGGTGGCACCCAACGGGCAGTTGACGTTGACCACGCCCATGCACAACTACAAAGCGTGACAAATCCAAAGCTGGCAAGCTTTCTAACTTGAACAGATCAGTGCTTTGGGAGAAGACTGGATGATTCCCGCGATTCATGCAGGAGGAACGAGATGTTTTCCTTTTTCCTGGGTTGACCTAGCTTCCGGTCGATTGTTCAACAAGAAAAAGAGCGTCGGGCAACGATGGAGGCGAGTCAAATGAGAAGTACGGATGGGGTTCGGCTCAGCCTTTCTGAGGCCACCGTGGGTATTTGCTTGTATTTTTTTAAAAGAAGCAGCTGCTTGAATAATATATTTTTGTACGGAAGCGTTGGAGATGTCCCTCAGAAATCCTCTCATTGCTACTCAGAAAACCCAGAACCGAATTTTTTAAGCGCTTATTGGAAACGCGATCAACGACAAGAGGACAAGCGGTTTGGGAAAAGAAGAATTTTTTTTAAAAAAAAAAAACGTTTCCCGGTCCGAGTTTTTGCTATTTAAAACGATTGACGGATTCAGACGGAAGAACAGCGACCAAAGTTTTGCCTAAGTCTTTCGTTCTCTTTTCTCTTTTGGTTTTAAGAAAAGGGACCGAGGCGTCCTCTTTCCCTCCTTTTGTGAATAGTTCCTTTCCAAGCTAGTAACCTTATTTAAAAAGTTCAACGTGGCTCTTTGTTTTCCCGTCTTGCTTCGACCTGGATTCCTTCCCCGATAGAAAAGGTGAAAGAAGAACGTCAAGATTTATTTCCAGAGCAGAAAACGGTGTGTATACAGAATGTAAACAATAGATTTCTTCGGCTGCATTTGTAACTATTGTACAAAAAGAAGAAGAAGAAGAATCAGGCGTCGAATTTTAACTGTTTTAAGATTTTTATCTGTACAGGGGTTTGTGGCGTTGTTAAAAAAAAAAAAGCGAGGCCAAATGAAACCAAACCCAAGCTAAGAATTGGGGTGGGAGAAAGTAAGTATTGTATTAAAGTGCTGTAAATTTAGAGGGCGAATGTCTGGAGCTGGGACTCCAGTCAAAACAGGTTTGTGGCTAATATTTCCTCTTCTAATAATACAAGTTGTTTGCAGCTTCAATTTTCAGTTTCCCCTGCTTGTTATTTCAAGGATTGGTACCCTAACGAGACTTTTGTGATGGGGGGGGGGGCGCGCAAGGCTTTAGCAACAAAAGTGCATATAGTCCAGGCCATGGTTTTCCCAGTTGCAATATATGGCTGTGAAAGTTGGACCATAAGAAAGGCTGAGCGCCAAAGAATGGAGTCCTTTGAACTCTGGTGCTGGAGAAGATTCCTGCGAGTCCCTTGGACTGCAAGGCGTTCAAACCGGTCAGTCCTAGAAGAGATCAACCCCGACTGCTCTTTAGAAGGCCAGATCCTGAAGCTGAAACTCAAATACTTTGGCCACCTAATGAGAAGGAAGGACTCACTGGAGAAGAGCCTAATGCTGGGAAAGATGGAGGGCAAGAGAAGAAGGGGACGACAGAGAATGAGGTGGCTGGATGGAGTCACTGAAGCAGTAGGCATGAGCTTAAATGGACTTCAGAAGATTGTAGAGGACAGGAAGACCCGGAGGAACGTGGTCCATGGGGTCGCGATGGGTCGGACACGACTTTGCAATTTAACAACAACAACAACAACAATAGAATTGTTCCCCTGAATACAAAGTCAGTCTAGGACAGTGATGGCGAACCTTTTAGACACTGAATGCCCCAAAACCGCCCCCTGCTCTGCCTCCCGCCCTGCCTGCACCGTCCCCACCCACCCCCTGCCCTGCTGCTGGTGAGGATGGGGCTGCGGGAGGAGGCAGGCCTGGGGTGACGTCGTGTGTGCCCACAGAGACGGCTCCAAGTGCCGCCTCTGGCACGTGTGCCATAGGTTCGCCACCACTGGTCTAGGATATGGAAGGAGAATTCAGATTTTTTCCCATGCTGATTTTAGAATCCGGATTGAATTTGGAATTCCGTCCTTTTGTCAAGTGTCTGTCTTATTTGGTCATTGCATGAAAACCCACTGATCAAAATCAACCCGTTAACGTCGGAATAAAATGAATTATTATAAGAGTGGAACATCTGGCTTTTCCAATTGTCATCTGCTACTTTTTGGGTGGGAGCTTACAGGCTGGCTTGGATTACCAGAAGTTTCTTGCCTTAAAAAAAGAAAAAAAAATCAGGGTTCAAGAGTTCCTTATTCCACTAGACTAGAGGCATGTCATCTGGATTACTTTTTCCTGGCTTGAAATTCTTGACCGAGATGTTCTCAGGATTATCATTAGAACGTCTGTAGAACATGAACTAGAACAGCGGTCTTCAAACCAGACCCTTTTATGACTTGTGGACCAACTCCCAGAATCCCTCAGCCAGGCAGTTGAAGTCCACAAGTCATGAAGGGGCCATAGTTCCCTCATGCTGGCTCAGGAATTCTGGGAGTTGAAGTCCGCAAGTCATAAAGGGGCCATAGTTCCCCCATGCTGGCTGAGGAATTCTGGGAGTTGAAGTCCACAAGTCATAAAAGGGCCAAGTTTGATGACCCCCTGATCTAGAAGAGTGATCTAGAACAGAGCTTGCCATCTGTGGATCTCACTGGATGTGACTTGGTCTCATTTCGTTTCTCTCAGCATTTCTATCCATTGGCAACACTGGATCAAGAACTATTAGCCCAAACCCTCTTCTCTAAAAAGCTGGTTCCTCTCTCTAAATAAATCCAAATAATATTATCTTGAGCACTAGTCTGAAAGTCAATACTCTGAAGGGTCCTTGGTGCTCTCTGAGCTTGGTGATTTCTTGCAGACGTTTTATTACCTAACCAGGAAACATCATCAGTGGTAGAAGAGAGTGGAGTTTGCAGAGAGGAAGAGGAGGAGGAGGAGGAGGAGGAGGAGGAGGAAGACTGTGGGGTCCTTGGTGCTCTCTGAGCTTGGCTGTTTTCTTGCAGATGTTTCATGATCCAACTAGGGAACATCATCAATGATGGGTGATGACCAAGGATAATTATTTTCTTGCAGACGTTTCCATGCACAACTAGGTAACATCATCAGTGCTAGTCAACAATCTTACAAGGTTGGAAAGAGACTTACAATATCTCAGGAATACACACCAATTAAAACACCCACCAGTATTTTATCTTCTTTATCAAGAGCTTTTTTTTAAATAGCTTTCTTCTTGGAGCTGAGAGTTCTGTGTGAATGCACGCATTCGGAGTTGGGTAATCTTATTTGCTCCGTGCACACATCTTATTAACTTAACTGTTAGGCTTCAGGGAGTGCAGGAATTGGACAACCAGATTTCCTCCAGGGCTTGGAGAAAGAAATTGCGTGAAATCACTCCCAACAAAGCATCGCACTTGTTCGACAAAGGAACAGCAACTTATATCAACACGGTTGGTGAAGAACTCATGCACTGTAGACGGCCTAATTGGAATTTGATATTTGGAAAGGATCCCAGATCAAAGCCGATTGGATTTCAGTTGACGGAGCAAGAAACGAAACAAAAATAGACCTTGGGCAAAGATAAAAAACTACTCTTGAGCATTAATTTCTTCCCTCGTAGATCAAAGGAGGAAATATGTTCTTCAAACGTTGAGGCTCACAAAGTAGCTGAGATAAATGAATAAATGATATCTGAAAAGGACGAAGGGGACAATTTAGACTAAGGATATTTTTGTTCTGCAGTTTCAGCGTCTGCGAAAATGAATCCGGATGCCCATTTTGAGCATTTCCTGCTTTGAAATTCAGAGGCTATATATACCATATTTGTGGGGTCCTTGGTGCTCTCTGAGCTTCGTGGTTTTCTTGCAGACATTTCATTACCTAACTAGGGAACATCATCAGTGCTAGAAAGGAATGGGGTTTGTGAAGAGGAGAAGAAGGAGGAGGACTGTGGGTCCTTGGTGCTCTCTGAGCTTGGTGGTTTTCTTGCAGATGTTTCATTATCCAACTAGCAAACTTCATCACTGCTAATGTTTTCTTTAGCACCAAAAAAAAGCAAAGTACCAAAACTCTTCTCTTCAAAAGACTTTGAAAAGCTGACAAGCGCCTCTTTTTGAAAATATTGTAACGGCGCCTCGAGCTTAGAAGTTGAATCAGCCCAAATCATCTTGAACGAGTCTCATGCCAAGAAGCCATGAACACGTTTACTCTCATGGGACCAGAGAGTCCACAAGCAGGCGGTGTCTCCACAATGCAAAAACGGTCACAGTTCCTTAAAGAAGCTGTGAAAAATTAAATAATTTGGATGAGTATCAGAGAGGCGTGCTTGAAGAATGTCACCAGATATAGCTCCAAGAAAATGTACGCAGAGTAAAAACAAACGGGTGAATGATGATTTAAATCATATCCACGAGAACCACGGGCCATTTCAATCCCCGGGGTTGTGGGTTGAACAAAGGGTGAAGTTCCCCGCGACAGCGGTAGCAAAATAGTGTTCAAAATGTAATTTTTACGATTCACGGAAATGGGCCAGTTAAGGCGTGAAGTAGTGACTCCATCCCATGAAGCCCTGGGAAAAATTGTGTCCAAACATAAATAGAGAGGCTTTGTGTGTATGTGTGTGTATCTTTTTTTTTTTCCTTCTCAAAAGCCCTTAAGTTTAATGAAGTACCCCTAGCTAGAAATAATTGCATGAAGTTTTAACTGTAGAGAGATGGCATGACACTGTATAATGAAATAGGTACCGCGATAGACCAGGCCCCAAAAAATATGTTTAAATTTACGAAGCGAGTATGATAATTTTAGCATGATTCGCCAAGCCCTTTTGACACTTAAGGATATGCAAAATAGAGTGTGCGTCCAACAGACGTAATCCATTTAAAAGAAGCTTGAAATACATATCTGTTAATGCAGATATCTTGCAATATTTATGCCTCTGATTCTTTGCATTAAGAGTGGGACTTGCAGAGCCTGAATGCAAGTTGTATGTGCTCTAACATGGCATGTCAACTATATTTTTCAGCATTTTTATCCCAAGCATTTGTTCGGCTTACGAAATGCATTTATTTGAGGGAAAAAAAAATATCCTTCTGTATGGAAGTGCGTGTATGTTTGTATATATTGGAGGAGTGAGAGTATGATCCGAATTTTCCTGGAATTCATACGGAAGATTGTTATTTAAAAAAAAACAAAAACAAATAAAATGTAGACAATTTGTTCCTAACCCAGTTTTGGCTGTTTATAGTTTATTTTGTGGCATGCAACTTCGTCTTCATATCTCATTTCTAGAGGAAGCGGTAAACTGCGTCCAGAGAAAGAACGTATAAGAGGCAAACGGAAAACTGCAACAGTTAAAAAAAATTGATTTTGTCTCTAATATTAGAACCACAGGGAGTCCTCATTTAGTGACCACAATTGGGATGGCAAGTCAATTATGACCCGTTTTTGCCACAGTTAACTGCAGTTCTTACGTGAATTGTATGATTGTTGAATGAATCTAGCTTCCCCCGTTTTGCTAACTGGAAGCTGGCTGGGAAAGTTGCAAATGGGATTCACACGATCCCAGGATGTTGCAAACCATTATAAAAAAATCTGTGCTGGTTGTCAAAACACCTAAATTTTTATCGCACAATCGGGCGAGTGCTGCAATGGTATTAAATGAAGGACCAGTCGTAATTCAGTTTTTTCAGCGCTGTTGTAAGTTCGAACGGTTGCTAAATGGATTGTAAATCAAGGACTGTCAGTTCATATAGAATAGAATATAATTAATACATACTGTATATAAAACATATATTGCACCTCTGGAAGGCTACACAGTTTCTCCTCTCTGTTTGATGATAAATAGAGACTGCTGGGACCAACTGTGGTAGGATGAAACTGTGTCATTCGGATATAGTTAGCTTGAGAACAGTGCCTCTAGGCATGTCAAGAGTACCCTGGCCTTGTAAAATACCAGTTCTGGGCAGTCAGGAAGTGACATTTTTTATTATCATTATCTATTATTAAACTGTTAATGCTGTCCATCTCTGAGCTGCTTACAGGTTGTAAAACAAATAGAAAAAACAATTTAAGCGTATTAAAATGTTGAAACAACACAGATTAAAACTTTTTTTTTTTAAAAAAAAACCACGATATAAAGATGATTTTCTTAGAGAAGATGCCAAAGCTGGCTTTGTTTCTCCAAAGATGAGATGCGTTCTTCCAAACTGGAGATTCAAGAAGCGTTCACCTGAAATAGGAAAAAGACAAGTGAACTCCGGGTCCCATCAGGCTGGGCAGCAGAACTAGAGAATGGGAATTGTGGTCCCGCTCCTGGACTTGATGGACTTGCCTGCTCCCCCCCCCCTCCAGTTTTGGAGAGCTGTCCACATCCAACCTAACTTGAATTCGCATCTCCATCTCCCAAATCTTAATTAGCCCATCATCCTTTTAACTCGGCTTCCTCCCATCCCTGGGTACCAAAAGCCCTCGACAAAGATGGCGCCCGCCTCCCCGCCCTCGCTCCCTCTCACCGCGCAGGCGCGCCCGGCCAGTCAACAACCACGTCCTCAACACGCCCGGCCCCCATCTTTTCTTTCCCTCGAGCGAGATGGCGCCGGGGCGGGCTTCGAGGCCAGGCTTCCCGTCCCTAAGATGGCGGTCGCGCCCATAGGCAACGCCTTGCGCTTCCCGCCTTTGCCCTTCTCCGGGCGACGTCGCCGGCGTCGCCAAGATGGCCGCCGGGGCGGTCCCAAGCGCCTGATGCGGTTGTTTAAAATTCCGAGGCAGCCGCCAAAGTCGGACACGAAGAAGAGGCGCCGCCGCCGCCGCCGCGACCCGTCAGCCGCCTCCCTCTCGCCGCCTCCCGGGGCCGCGCCATGGACTCGACCCCGGGCGAAGACCCCACTTTGCCGCTGGACATCCACAGCAGGTAGAGCCGTTAGGGCCGTTGGCGGGAGGAGGGAGGGGGGAGGAGGAGGAGGAGGAGAAGGGAGGGGGGAGGAGGAGGAGAAGGGAGGGGGAGGAGGAGGAGGAGGGGGAGGAGAAGGGAGGGAGGAGGAGGAGGAGGAGGATGAAGAAGGGAGGGGGGAGGAGGGGAGAGGGGAGGAGGAGGAGGAGGAAGGGAGGGGGGGGAGGAGGGGAGAAGGGAGGGGGGAGGAGGAGAAGGGAGGGGGAGGAGGGGGAGGAGAAGGGAGGGAGGAGGAGGAGGAGGAGAAGGGAGGGGGGAGGAGGAGGAGGAGAAGGGAGGGGGGAGAAGGAGGAGAAGGGAGGGGGGAGGAGGAGGAGGAGAAGGGAGGGGGAGGAAGGAGGAGGAGTTAACCCCTCCCCTGCTGGCGCGCGGCAGACAAAGCGAGGGGGCGGGGCTGAAGCGCCTCTCTGGCTCCTTCCCTCCCTCCCTCCCCTCAGTGGAGCCTCCAGCGCCCGGCGCAGTCTATATTGAGTGGGTGGGAAACGAGCAAGGGCTGCTTGGCCCCGCCTTGCCAGTCTTTGGACCACCCTGCAAGAGGGTTGTTAAGAGGGGTGGAGGGTGAGGAAGGGGTCAGAAGGCATCCTTGCAAGGGGGATGAGGATTGGGTGTGGGCTGTAGATGGGGCTCTTTCCTCACCTCGATGGGGTGTACTACAACTCCCATCCCCTGAGCGTCTGGTCTTGGTTGCCTTTGCGGATCTGATGAGCGATGCTGCAGGAGGGTGGTTAGAGGGGAGGAAAGGAGGCAGAGGGGATCCTTGCAAGGGGGATCCAGATAGGAGTGTAGGTTCCCTGCTGGATAGGGTCCTGATCCCAATGGGGTGTACTACAACTCCCATCTCCTGAGAGTCTTGTCTTGGCTGCCTTTGCGGATCTGGTGGACGGCCCTACAGGAGGGTAGTTAAAAGGGTGGGTGGGGGAGACACAAGACCCATCAGGCCTGGGGTTCATGTTTCTGGCTAGATCAGATTGGGGGACATCAGCAAACCGGGGCGGGGCGGGGAGGGGCGCTTTCCTCATTCAGATGGGGACACACTACAAGCCCCATCCTCCCCAGGTGGAGGAGACAGAGAATCTGGGCTCTGCTAGCCTTAGATAGCTGCAGATTCCCTCTTCCTGGCTCTTACACTCTTTCCCCTCCACCTTGTCTTGGACTACAGTTCCCATCACTTGATTTGGACTACAGTTCCCATTGCTCACCTTCAGTGCAGGGGGGCAAAGCGGAAAGGCGGAAAATTCATTTTTATTTATTTAAATGCACGTATGAAGAAAGATGGAGAGATATTGAATATTGATCAGAGACTGGATAAGCCACGTGCGTCTATCCAGATATTCTCAAAACCCATTGGCACTACCGCTGATGGGACATGTAATCCAGGGCTGTAAAAGCGGGTGGGGGGGGGCACATCTGACCTAGCCTGGGGCCTGCAAGTTTATTTTTTAAAACTTCTTTCCTCCCAGCCTCAATTTTTCCCGGCTTCCAGACGTTTCGGGAGATGAGATTCGCAATCAAGTGGGAGGCGGTGGAGGTAAAAAAAATAAAATAAATCAATCCCCCAAAACTCTCTTTAAAAAAATCCCTTAAATGCAACTTAAATCAAACTTTATAGACTGGCATATAAATACACTGTTGCATTTCAAGCCATGTATCTAAGTAAGTAGGAAAAAAAAACAAACACCCAAATACTTGGAAGAGAAACAAAAGGGAAGTAATTAAGTCTGCACCGGAAAACTTTGTTGCATTCAAGTTTCTTTTTCTAAGTGATTGCAAACAGCCATCCAAGGGAAGAAAAAAAAATAAATAAATTCTTGGAGAATTACACAATCCCTTTTGCAAGCCACAAACTGTGTGTGTTTAATGCCCTTGAATTCTGTTTTTCTTCCCCCCCCCCAGAATTTATCTTGTACTAACTACATTTGTTGAAAATGGATGGCGATTTCTGTCTCTATTTTCAAGCTAGAAACAAAAATGAAAAGATAGTATAGCTAATGTAGTTTAAACCCAAATCTGGGCTTAATGTGTTTTATTAACATTTTCCCCAAAGCCAGGAAAACAAAACCTTTATTGGGGATTTTGGTTCAGCTCCAACGTATTTCTTACTTTGCCAAATTGTTCCACAGTTCAGTTTCTTTTATGTATTTTTGCACTATAATTTGGTGCCTCTGATCTGAAAAAAAAAAAACACTAACAGGCAATTATTTAATCCTTCATAAAAAGCAATTTCTAGATATGAAATATGCAGCACACCTAAAAAAATTATTTATTTTGGGGTTCTTTGAAAACAACTTGTGAAAATAGTCGGAAGTTTTTTTTAAAATGCAAATTTATTTGACATTTCCACTTGAGTTCCTCTCTTTGTACTTTCCTGTTATAAATTTAAAAGTTTCTCAATTAAAAAAAAAATACTGCTGCTCCTTGGGCCTCGTGTTGCATTTTTAGGGGATGTGTGCAAAGAGTTTCTTTTGGGCATGATTTAGTTCAGCGTGAGGTTTATTTATTTATTGTACGTGCATGTACGTGTCTTCGCCAATATTTGCTCTTTATTTGGATTATTTGGCAGCGTTACTTGAGGTGGCCGAAGACACTGTTTCACCAACTAGGGCGCGGACTATGAAGGATTTTGAAAATGTAAGTTGGTGGCTGGTTGTTTGTTGTGTGTTTTTTTTTTTAAGCTATAAAGGTAATCCTCGACTTACAACAATTATCTTCAAGGAAAAACCAGAAAGTCCAGTTGCCTCGTGGAAGAAAAAAGCACTTTTGGGACAACCATGACTTGGATGACGGAAAAACTCCCTAGACAAACCTCTAGGGAAGTTTGTTATGCTAGGCTGCTTTGTAAGCTGAGTAGTTTTTTTATAATAGGAAGGTGCAAGCATCAATATTTGATTAGCAACAAAGGCTGGCAAAGATGGGGAAGATATAGTGGTAGCTGAGTGGGACTGGGACAGCTGCTTTACTTAAATGAATGTTTTACACAGGTCGTTCTCGAACTTACAACAAAACAGTTCATTTAGTACATTGTATATAGTTGTAAATGTTGGATCTATAGTAGTGTGGAAACCTTTTGGGAAAAGTGTATAGTAGAAATGCCACCTTTGGCTAAGTTTCCACCCATTTTTCTTCTAATTTCTTTATAACGGTAGCCTTGTTCGCTTAATAATACTATTTTACATTGCTTTCTGGGCGACCCGTCGACTCTTTGCACCATGACTTTAATTTTATTACATCTTACAAGCTCAAGGAAAGAACACCAAAAAAAACCCAACCAACTTAATAGCCATCACATAACACACTGACAAATGTCCTCCTCTCAGCTTCAATACAGGAGATCAATAACTGGATCCTACTGTGATCTGATTGGCTCATGGCCAAAACAAGATGACACCTGATTGGCTCTCTAAACACTCATTGTACCTCATTGGCTACAGTCAGATGAAGGAAAGCTACCTGAGATCAACCTAAGCAAGTTGTGCTTCCTGTTTCTGGTTCTTTGGCTGCAGCTTTTCATAGAACACAGTACAGATAATTGAACAAACTTTGTTGCATTACATTCTTGATTAAATCACCTTTACATTGATATATAATTTTATGGTACTACTCCCCCCCCAAAAAAGTGGTGTTATTAGCCGTCAAACCTCAAAAATACATTTTTTTCTAAAAGGTTTCTACAATTTTGGCCACTACTGTAGTATGGTTTAAATGTGTGTGTTATGTATGTGTGCACCTTGAGAGCAAGCAACTCAATTTCATTTTTAACGTGTGCCGTCGTGCCCACAGGGGGGAAAAAAATGACGATAAAGGTTAGCTAATCTAAAAGCTAACGACGACACTGAAAAAAGTCACTTGTGACCGTTTTTCAGACTTAACGGCCGTCGCAGCATTCCCCAGGGTCACGTGATCTGAATTCGGACGCTTGGCAACTGACTCATATTTATGACGGTGGCCGTGTCCCGGGGTCACGTGATCCCCTTTCGCAACTTTCTGACAAGCAAAGTCAACGGGGGGGGGGGGGAAGCCAGATTCACAACTTTACAACTGCAGCAAAATTCACTGGTTGCTTGGAAAACCCTTCCCTTCTTTCGCCAGCAAATCACGGAGCTGCGGAAGGAGAATTTCAACTTGAAACTTCGCATCTATTTCCTGGAAGATCGGATTCAGCAGAAGTTTGAGGGTCCCCATGATGACGTCTACCGAATTGTAAGTGTCGGGTGGTGTTCTTTGCGGTTCCTAGTGTCCGTACGGGCCCCGGGGCAGAACACAAATGTGTACCTCCCTTGCCTTGTGTAGATTGTCCCGGTGCCTGCTCAGAGTCTGTCCCTCACCAGTGCCAGCCAAAGTTTGCCCTCCATTTCGGTTGTGGGAATAGGAAACTGCCCTGCACAAATTCCTTGTGGGAGAAAAAAAAACCACCCAAGTTTTTACAACTTTTCTTTCTGTTAGAACATTGAGCTCAAAGTCGAATTGGAGAGTGTGAAACGGGAGCTTCAGGAACGAGAGCAGTTGCTCCGGAAAGCTTCGTGAGTATTTCCCTGCCGTTAATGTGTGGGTGGCCCTCCTTGTTTAATTGTGTTTCTGGTGCGTGTGCCCAGCCTTCCCCTCGGGTCTGTGACAATTGCAGCCAACTCGCCATGGGCAACCCGCCACGGGATGAGAGTTACGCTAAGATCAACGGAAGGGTGGAATAGAATCCTTCAAGAAAGAATGCCAAAGGAGGGACAGAATGAAATGGGAATGGCAAAAATTAAAACAATGTTTAATTTATTTAAAATGATTTAATAGAATTGTTAAATTGTCCTGCAACAAGTTAGCCATGGTGAGGTGGCCGTGGTGAGTTGGCCATGATGAATTGGCCATAGTGAGTTGGCCTTGGTGAATTGGCCATAGTGAGTTGGCCTTGGTGAGTTGGCCTTGGTGAGCTGGCCATGGCGACCTGCCCATAGTGAGTTGGCCACGGTGAATTGGCCATAATGCGTTGGTCATAGTGAGTTGGCCTTGGTGAGTTGGCCATGATGAGCTGGCCTTGGCGTGCTGACCATGGTGAATTGACCATGGTGAATTGTGAATTGACTATGACAAATTGTCCCCTTCCCGTCTGCCAGCCAAGCTGGTGAGGGAGGAATCTCCATCCTAGGCGGAGAAGGGTTGAGAAGGAAGGTCCAGCTGGACAGCAGCTCCCTCCTTCAGTCTTCTGCTGCGGTTCGTCTCCTCGACAGTCCTGTGTTTGGCCTTTGCAGGAAAGCCGTCGAAAGCTTGGCCCAGGGTGGCGATGCTGAAATCCGGCGTCTGAAGCAAGACGCAGAGAAGAAAGTCCAGGAAGTAGAAGCAAGCTTGACTAGCAGGATCCGGCTTTTAGAGGAGGCAAGTCTTGACATTTCCTGGAATTTATGGGAATTTTGAGCCTTTGGGAAGCTTTGGCTGGAGTTGGCCAGCAATCAGAATCCCAAGGAAAAGTTGCAGGTGATGGCCACTTCTTCCATCCTGAGTTTTGGACACTAAGGACGGGGCACTTTCTAAATAGGGGTAATCCTCCACTTACGAACACAGCTTGAGCCCCACATTTCTGTGGCTAAGTCAGACAGTTGCTAAGTGACTTTTGCCCCATTTTACGACCTTGCCACAGTTGTGAATCACTGCTCTTAAGAGTTGTTGTGTGAACCTGCCTTCCCCATTGACTTTGCCTGTCCGAAGTTTGCAAAGGATGATCACGTGACCCACGGATGCTGCAACTGTCCTAAGTACATGCCAGTTGCAAAGCATCTGAATTTTGAACACAGAACCACGGGGATGCTGCAACGGTCATAAGTAGGAAAAACGGTCCTAACTCCCTTTTTTTTTTCAGCACCGTTGTAACTTTTGAGCGGTCACTAAACAAACTTGCAAATTGAGGACTAGCTGCATGAAACTGTGGCCAGTGTGCATAGGACCTCCCATAATTTTTTGGGTCCCAAGGGCTGTGCTCAGTACGAGCGGCGAACTCTGCAGTTATTCCCGACAACGGACGGGGCAAAATGTGTATTTTTATTGTCCTTTTTACGAGGCTTGAGCTCTTAAGATTGCACTGCCTCTGTTTGAAATTGTATTATTTATCCTAGTATGCCATACAGAGGTGGATTGGTTTTTTTTTTTATTGCATTGCCTTTTGATTGCGATCAAACATTTCCTACTTTTATTTTGTTCGGTGTTTATAATAGCTGAGCTTTTAAGATTGCACTGCCTCTGTTTGAAATTGTATTATTTATCCTACTAAGCCTGGCAGAGTCTTTTGATGGAGTCAGAACAGAAATATATTCAATTGGGTGGTCTTTTCTGAGCTGGGTGGTGCAGACTGTGAGCTGGCTTGAAAGATCCCTTGGTTTCAATATCCCACCCCCCCCCTTTTTTTTTTTTTTTGCTTTCCGAGCGCAGGATGTTCGCACGGCCCGGGAAGAAGTAGAGAAAGCGTTTGCTTTGACGGAGCGCGAAAGAGTCCAGCGCCTGGCTGTGGAAGAGCAGCTCTCTTTGATCCTCAAAGATCTGGATGTCGCAGCAATGCTGGAAGAAAAGGACAGGTTGAATGCCTGTGGAGCTTCTGGATCGCCCAAGCCGTGGTTGTCCCTAAGGTGCTTTTCCCAAAGCCAACTGGACTTTGTTGAGGTTTTTTTTGTTTTTAAATTCGCTTGAAAATATTTCGCTTCTCATCCCAGAAGCGTCTTCGGATCCTGGATGAAGAACTTCTTGAACTGAAGAAGCTTCTGGGATGGTCCTGGTGATCCCAAAGGTGCTTTTTTTTTTCAAGAGGCAACTGGACTTTCTTTGTTTTCCTTCGAAGACGTTTCGCTTCTCACCCAAGAAGCTTCTTCAGCTCTGACCGGATGGTGGAGAAGGGAAAAATGTACATCCAGCAGTTCCAAGAAGGCTCCACGCCCATTTGCACCGCTCAGGTGATCCTGAGGACACAGGTAGACCTCCAAGTGGCCTCCAGGACTCTCTGAAAGAAGGCAAATGACCAGCGGTCTGCAAGGAGTATAAATCCTTCCATTTTCCCACCAGCCAGTCAGAGCCGAAGAAGCTTCTTGGAGGAGAAGCGAAACGTCTTCAAATCAAAAGTCCAGTTGCCTCCTGAAAAAAAAAAGCATCTTTGGGATTTGGATGGGAAGAGAACCATTTTTAAGGAAAAGAACCAAGAAAGTCCCAATTGCTTTTTTTTGGAAAAGTACCTTTGGAAAAAGGACAGGTTGGGCTGCTACTTGTTACCCCAAAGGTTTGCTGTCTTTTAGCTAGGTGGGTTTATTGGTTGGACCCTCATGAAGTCAGCTTGGGCCATCCACCCCCATCCCCTCTTTGCAGTCTAGATGGGGAGGCCCTAGCAGGAGAGACTCTTATCCTGCGAGCAAATCAGCCTTTGGGCTCTGCTCGCTTTCTTCCTGCCCGTGGTGTAAGAGGCTGGTGTTGTGCTTGTAGGTGCATAGAGCAACTGAGGCTCTCTCTGGAAAGGAAAAATGCGGTCCAGCTCTTGGAGGAAGGACAGGGGAGACCGTCAGGAGAAAGCCAAGCTCCTAGTGATGCATTGAATGAGGAAGAAGACAAGGCCTTGGAGGTGAGGAAAACATGGGAGATTGCGAAGGAGGGTCTGTAAATTGGTCAGTAAGCTGGATGTCCATCCATCCCATCCCATCCCATCCCATTCACCCCATCCATCCCATCCCATCCATATCATACTATGCATCTATCCATCCATCCCTCCATCCATCTATCCATCCATCTCTCCATCCCTCCATCCATCTGTCGATCCCATCCATCACCATGCATCTATCTTTCCATCCATCCCATTGATCCATCCCACCCATCCACCTATCCATCCATCTATCCTTCCATCCATTCTTCCTATCCAGCCCATTCATTCATCCATTCCATCCATCCATCTCTCCATCCCTCCATCCATCTGTCGATCCCATCCATCCCATACCATGCATCTATCTTTCCATCCATCCCATTGATCCATCCCACCCATCCACCCATCCATCTATCCATCCATCTGTCCTTCCATCCATTCTTCCTATCCATCCCATTCATTCATCCATTCCATCTATCCATCCCTCCATCCCTCCATCCGTCTGTCGATCCCATCCATCCCATCATCCCATGCCATGCATCTATTCATCCATCCATCCATCCTATCCCATCCATACTTCCATCCATCCCATTGATCCATCCCATCCATCCATCCATCTATCCACCCATCCATCCATCCTTCTTATCCATCCATCCATCCATGCTGGGATTATAGGATTCTAGTCCTCATGAATTCACAATACGATTCTCCTCTGTTCCCATTCCTCAGTGTTTTCTGTGCTGATGTGGCAATAACAAACAGTCATCTCTGGTTTTTTTTTTTTTTGTTATTTTGCTGAAGTTAAAAATGTCTTTATTCTTGTAGGTTCCCAGGACTGAATTCAGCAGTGAAAAAAAAGACCTTGAAAAAAGGATTGAGGTATGGCACTTGCTCTGCACTCAGAACTCTGACATGTCCGGAGGGGTATTTTAGATAGCTTTTTCTCTTACAATTCAAATTTCTAAAAGCAAGGAAAATGTTTTTCCTGAAGCATTTAGCTGTGATTCATTCTTCTGCAGCCCCAACATTTTCCTCTTGTCTATTCTGGAGCAATGATAGCAAGAGCACTTAGACTTATAGACCGCTTCACGGTGCATTACAGCCCTCTCTAAGCAGTTTACAGAGTCAGCCTATTGCCCCCCCCCCAACAATCTGGGTCCTCATTTTACCCACCTCAGAAGGATGGGAAGCTGAGTCAATCTCGATCCGGTCAGGATCGAACTCCTGGCAGCGAGCAGAGTTTAGCCTGCAAGGCTGCATTCTAACCGCTGCGCCATTCTGGCTCAGCAACAACGCGGCGCCATACCACGTGTGCATGTTTAACATTGAGTTGCCTTTTGCATTCACATTTTCCCCCAAAAAACTTCCAGCATCTCCAGAACGACCTTCGCGAACGGGAAACGGAGCTTTCTGCCGAAAAGAGAAACGCGCTGAAACGAGACAAGACCATCCAGGGACTCACCCTTGTTTTGAAAACCAAGGAAAAGGAGGTAGGCGTGGCCTTGGAGGTTGAAGAATATATCAAAATATAGAAGTATATTTGGCTGCATCTGACCGAAAGTCCCCTTTGTGATCACTGCTGGTTTCCATCTATGCATATAAGAACGTTTTTCAGACAGACCGGTCTGATTGATTGCACCTTGGCATTTTGACTGCTATACTGCAGCTCTACTTCTTTATAATCTCTTTTGCCTTGCAGCCCCTCCCCCAACTAGGGGCGTTAAGCAGGCTCACGTCACAACTGCGATACGTTACAAGTTCAGATTTCTTTTTGCTGACAAAGAGTTAAAGATTTAAGTGGGAGACTAGTATAGCTATTTCGGACTCATTAGTTCTCATCAGCTACCCACACCCTTTATGGGATTCGAACCAGGGCATCTTCTTCGTGCTCCTCATTCTTCAAGGAGCACGAAGCTGAAAACACCAGCCTGAAGATGACGAATGGGACTTCGTCGAAACGTCGCCAAGACACTTCCAATTTTACACGGGAGAAAACCCGAATAACCAAAGACCTACATACAAACACTCGCGAAAACCTCAGAATATACATACATACATACATACATACATACATACATATATATATTATTCTTTCATCTTGTTTTAGAATGCAGAACTCGCTTCTGAAATAGAAGGCCTGAAAGCGTTGTGGGTCAAGCCTGGAGAGTCCAGTCCCCAAGATCAGATGCAGAAATTCAAGGTTGGGCAAAGGAGACGGAGTAGATAGTCGTATCTGTAGCTCAGGGTGGAATTGTGGGGCCTTTGGTGCTCTCTGAGCTGGGTGGTTCTCTTGCGGACGTCTCAAGACCCGATTAAGTAACACCATCAGTGTTAGAAGGGAGTCGAGTTTGTGGAGTGAAAGGGAAGAGGGGGATGGGGAGGGGGAGGGGGAAGAAGAGGGGCATTGTGGGGCCCTTGGTGTTGTCTGAGTTTGGTTGTTTTCTTGCAGACATTTCAGGACCCAACTAGGTAACGTCATCAGTGTTAGAAGGGAGTGCGGTTTGTGGAGAGGAGGAGGAGCAGGAGAACTGTGAGGTCCTTGGTGGTCTCTTAGCTTAGTGTTTTTTCTTGCAGATTTTTCTGACCCAAATAGGTAACATCATTGGTGTTTTAGAAGGGAATGTGGTTTGTGGAGTGGAGGAGGAGGAGGAGGACGACGACAATGACCTTGGTGAGTTTATTTGTTTTTAGCAGACATGCCATGACCCAGTTACACCATCTGTTCTAGAAGGAACTGTATATAAACAGAGAGCAAACCCCCTCCCTTCTAGCACTGATGCTATTACCTAGTTGGTTCATGAAATGTCTGCAAGAAAACAACTCAGCTCAGAGAGCACCAAAGAGCCTACAGTTCTCCTCCTCCTCCTTCTCCTCCTCCTCTCAGCAAATCCCCCTCCCTTCTAGCACTGATGATATTACCTAGTTAGGTCATGAAATGTCTTCACGAAAACAAGCAAGCTCAGAGAGCACCAAGGAACCCACTGTCATTGTCGTCGTCGTCGTCCTCCTCCTCCTCCTCCAACACTCATAATATTACCTAGTTGGGTCATGAAACGTCTGCAAGAAAGCCACGCAGCTCAGAGACCACCAAGAACTTCATGGAGTTGGCCCACCTTACGAGGGGTCTATACCGCTTCTGATGTAAGAGAAAAGAGTGCCATCCCAAGGCACAACGTTTAGTCACGCATCTATTAAAACAACACCAACACCAACCACCAGCTTTAAAACCAAGTCTATCTACGGGGAAAAGGCTGTCGTAACCTTTTATTTTATTTTATTTTATTTTTTTTCTCCCAGGGTGCCGAAGAGTCTCGGGAAGTGCTGATGGAGAAGGAGAGTCTGCTGGCGGACCTGCGCTCGCAGAACCTGACCAAGGACACCGAGAACCGGAAGCTGCAACGGAAGCTGAAGAGGACCGAGCAGGAGCTAAGCGAGCTTCTTCTTGAGAAGGAGAAGCTGAGCAGAGAATTAGAAGAAGCTCAGCTGCAGAAGAACCAGAGTGACAAAACCATCCACGTGAGTGTGGGGCCACTTTTTTTCTCTCTCTTTCTTTTGCACTTTGGAATAAATAGGATTGCAAGGTTGGCGCCGTTTGATGCCCAAAGCTTCCGGGTCGAAAGTGGACAGTAAGAAATATTTTGGATATCGGAATGTTCTCCTGTGTTCTCTGAAGCACCAAACAGGCCTTTGTCCCATCAAAACATCTTAACACGTTCCTGGAACTTGGGGGACGGTGGGGGTGGTGGTGGTGTTAAAATAAAACACCTCCAAAACAGTCCTTGAATTACAACTGTTCGTTTAGTGATGAAGAAAATAGTGACTTACGACCATTTGCGGTGTCCCTATGTGATCCCCTGCCTTAAAGGACTTTGTTGTTGTTAGTTGCGAAGTCGTGTCCGACCCATTGCGACCCCATGGACCACGTTCCTCCAGGCCTTCCTGTCCTCTACCATCTTCTGGAGTCCATTGAAGTTCATACCTGCTGCTTCAGTGACTCCATCCAGCCACCTCCTTCTCTGTCGTCCCCTTCTTCTTTTGCCCTCCATCTTTCCCAGCATTAGGCTCCAATGAATCCTTCCTTCTTAGGTGGCCAAAGTACTTGAGTTTCAACTTCAGGATCTGGCCTGCCCCAGAGCAGTCGGGGTTGATCTCCTCTAGGACTGACTGGTTTGATCGCCTTGCAGTCCAGGGGAGTCTTCTCCAGCACCATAGTTCAAAGACCTCCATTCTTTGGTGCTCAGCCTTTCCTATGGTCCAACTTTCACAGCCATACATTGTAACTAGGAAAACCATGGCCTTGACTATACGCACTTTTGTTGGCAGGGTGATATCTCTGCTTTTTACTATGCTGTCTAGATTTGCCATAGCTTTCCTCCCCAGAAGCAAGTGTCTTTTAATTTCTTGGCTGCATTAAAGGACTTAGATTGAGCTAATTCAAGAGCTTTGGGTGGGTCTAAAACACAAAAGGCAAAAATGGGCCGGGGAGCTGGAACCCGAGACTCTTATGGCTACGCAATGATTCCAAACCGATGACACATTTGACTCCGCCTTCCTGCTCAGCCTGCTCATCTTCTACAGCAGATGTCCCCAACCTTTTGGGTACCAGGGACCAGTTATGTGGAGAGAAGTTTTTCCGTGCATGGTTTTGTGTGCTGCCTGCGTCCTGCAGATGGGGCTTTGCTTGTTTGTGCGGACCAGTTACTGGCCTGCCACGGACCGGGTGTTGGGGACCCCTGTCCTACAGGATTAGCTATTCCTACGTTGAGTGCAATTTAGGAAAACCCAAAGTCCCATCTTGTAGATCTGCTGCTGTCATCCTACTTCAAGCCAGCAGAGGGGTGTCTCTCTCCACAAATGGCCACAACACGTTCACCCTCTTTTTGCGTGATCTACTTACATATGACTGAAGTACGGGCGCAGTGTTGTTCCTTACTGCAAAGGTTCCCAATCTTTTGGGCACTGGGGACCGGTTCTGTAGAGAAAGGTTTTTCCATGGACTGGAGGGTGTGTGGTTTTGTGTGCTGCCTGCATGCATCTCACAGATGGGACTTTGTTTGTGTGGTTACTGGCATGCAGTTGCTGGCATGCTGTGGCCCGGTACCGGTCCACGGACGGGGTTGGGGACAGGGTTGTTTTTTTCTTTGTTCTGTTTGGGTGAGCCTGCAAAAGGCCTTGAGAAGGTCTGGCCTTTCCTGCAGTTGTGGGCAACAGGAACCTAGGAGCCCATTTCCAGCATCTGAAACGAATCTTTTATCAATAGAGGTCGTCCTTGACTTAAAAACAGTTCAGTTAGTGACCATCCGGCTGAAAAAAAACTGACTTATGACCAGATTCCACACTCATAACCGTGGCAGCATCCCCAGGGTTACCTGATTTACCTTTGGATGCTTAACCACTGACTCACATTTATGACGGTTGCAGTGCCCCCGGGGGAGGATCACTGCGATCCCGTTTTGCGACCTTCTGACACACACACACAACAATAGGGAAGCCAGATCCACTTAACAACCGTGTTACTAGTTTAACCTCTGCGGTGATTCGCTTAGCAAGCCTGGTGTCAACGCTGCTAACATCGGGTGTCAGTTTTCCTGACAGAAAAAGTCGTCGCAAAATGGGGCAAAACCCACTGAATGCACTTAGCAACATAAATTTTAGGCTGGGTTGTGGTCGTAAGATGAGGACTACCAGTGGAGAAGGAAAACTTCAGCTTTAGGAAAACCATCATCCCCTTCTTAGCCACATTGTCTTCCGATGTAAACGGCTTCCCTTGCCAGGGTTTATGAATTCCGAAAAAAATATATGATTATTTTGTTTTGTAAAACTCTTGACGGGCCTAAAGTGGATGAGGAGATAATCCTTGATTTATGACCTGAGTTAAGTCCAAAATTCACATTGCCAAGCAAGGCGATTGTTAGGTCTGAGTTTTGCTCCATTTTACGACTTTTCTTGTCACGCTTATTAAGTGACTCACTGCAGCTGTTAAATCAGACACACGGTTGTTAAGTGAACTGGGGTTCCCCCCCTTGACTTTGTGTGTCAGAAGGTCGCAAAAGGGGATCACTTGACACACACCCCCCAGGACACTGCGACCGTCAACGTCTTCATCAACGATTTGGACGAGGGGATAGATGGGGAACTCATCAAATTTGCAGACGACACCATGCTGGCAGGAATAGCCAACATTCCAGAAGACAGGCTTAGGATACAGGAGGATCTGGACAAACTGGAACACTGGGCGCTATCTAACAAAATGAAATTTAATGGTGAAAAAAGTAAGGTTCTACATTTAGGCAAGAAAAATGCACAGGTGTAGTATAGGTGATACCTTGCTGAATAGTTGTAAGTGTGAGAAGGATCTTGGAGTCCTAGTGGACAATCACTTAAATAGGAGCCAGTTGTGTGCTGCAGCTGCCAAAAAAGCCAACACAGTGCTAGGCTGCATTAACGGGGAGGGAATCAAGATCACGTGAAGTGTTAATACCACTTTACAAGGCCTTAGTAAGGCCACACTTGGAATTTAGCATCCAGTTTTGGTCACCAGATATAAAAAAAGTTATTGGGACTCTAGAAAGAGTCCAGAGAAGAGCAACAAAGATGATTAGGGGACTGGAGGCTGAAACATACAAGGAACGGTTGCTGGAATTGGGTATGTCTAGTTTAATGAAGAGAAGGACGAGGGGGGACATGATAGCAGTGTTCCAATATCTCAGGGGCTGCCTCAAAGAAGAGGGAGTCAAGCTATTCTCCAAAGCCTCTGAAGGCAGGAGAAGAAGCAACGGATGGAAACTAATCAAGGAGAGAAGCAACCTAGAACTAAGGAGAAATTTCCAGACAGTGAGAACAATTAACCAGTGGAACAACCTGCCTCCAGAAGCTGTGAATGCTCCAAAACTGGAGGTGTTTAAGAAGAGACTGGACAGCCATTTGTCTGTACAGGTTTTCCTGCCTGAGCAAGGGGTTGGACTAGAAGACCTCCAAGGTGCCTTCCAACTTTATTATTATTATTATTATTATTATTGTTGTTGTTGTTGTTTTGTTGTTTTGTTGTTTGTTGTTGTATTATTATCATTATCATGGATCATTGCACAGTCAGCCAGATGTTCAGACTGAATTTGGCATTTTGTCTACCTATCAAGTCCTTACCCAGGACCTGGGATAGGCAGATGTGGATGTTTGATGATATTACAGATATTGTCGCAGGATGGAAGCAGTTCCTAGTAAGGCTGCCTTTTGCAATTGACTAATAGCGAATTTGTCAATGCCAATGATGTTCAAGTGGTGCTCCAGTTGTTTTGGGATTGCACCCAAGGAGCCTATCACTATTGGTATTATTATTATTATTATTATTATTATTATTATTAAATATGAGCCAGTTGCAAGCGTCCGGATTTTGATAATGGGGAAGTGCTGCAATATGTTTATTTTGAGCCTTGATTTTCTGCTTTGGGCTTTTTTATGAATTCTTGGAGGATGGAAAGTTTTGGGCATGGAGAGCAGCTAAGCCAGGAGGGCATTGTAAAATGACTTCCACGGGGGAGTCAGCTTGGTGCCGCGGCGTTCGAAGGACTTAATTCAGTCTTATAGATTTTTTCGCCCGTCTCTCTCTTGGCAGCTGGGAAGCAAAGACGGCCCCGAGTTCAAGTTTAAAAATAGCTCGGGGACCCTGTTTGTTCAGTCAGCCTGCCGAAGTGAAGATTGCTTTTGTGGTGTCACTATTGCAAAACTACAGGGGGGGGGGTAGGACCGCTTCGTCTCCTTGGCACTAGGTGTGGCTGAGAAGAGGCCGTTTGGCTTGGCCTATGTACGTGCCGATGCTATGCTGCTCGAATAAAGATTCTTTAAGGTAAACAATACCTCGAAATTCTTTGAAGAGGTTCATCTGTCGGAACCATGACATCTGAGTGCAGAGCTTCCAAGAATTCCCTAGTGCTTTTGGATTTAATGTGAGCAAACAGAGAGCACCGAGGACTCCACAGCTCAACCCTGAGCTCTATAAATTCTCTAATATTGATATTTAGGATATTTGGGGCTGGAAAGGACAGCTGTGTAATTCGCCCAGCCGTGATGAAAAGCTACCAAGTGGCAGATGAGCGCCATGCTTTACAGCCAGGTGCATCTGTGTTTGTGTGCGTACAGAAATCTAATTATATCCAGGATAGAAGCTTCCCGATTATTATTATTTTTTTCTTCCGGGGTTGCTGGGTCTTTGGGTTTTGAAGTGAAATTAATTTTTGAGGGAACCCTGGCCGATAATAAAGTGAATCCAGGATGATAAAAGTTGCAATAATTTCGATTAAAAAAAACACGGTCACCACTAATAAAAGTAACTGAAACAATTAATACAGTGTTGAATTCTCCCATGGAGAGTTGGCTGCAGTGAGTCGTCCTAGACCCAAATCCAATATTTGATCCTGTTCTGTTCTATTCTATTCTATTCTATTCTATTCTATTCTATTCTATTCTATTCTATTCTATTCTATTCTATTCTATTCTATTCTATTCTATTCCCTATTCCCTATTCCCTATTCTGTTCTATTTTACTCTACTCTACTCTACTCTACTCTACTCTTTCATTCTCTATTCTATTCCCTATTCCTTATTCCCTATTCTATTCTATTCTATTCTATTCTATTCTATTCTCTATTCTATTCTATTCTATTCTATTATACTCTACTCTGCTCTGCTCTATTCTTTCATTCTCTATTCTATTCTCTATTCCTTATTCCCTATTCTATTCTATTCTATTCTATTCTATTCTATTCTATTCTATTCTATTCTATTCTATTCTATTCTATTCTTATTTATGGCCTTTGTCTTCTAAGGACCAGCTTGATACCAGAATCTTGACCTCATCAAAGCAAGTGGGCAAGTTAGAACTTTTGAAAAGCTAACGAGACACCCGCCCACTTCTCAGATTTTTCTGTCTGGAAAATTGAACAATATTGCTAGGTTGGTTTCCATGGGTTGCACGCATGTTTTTGGAAAATACACACAGGCAGTCCTCGGCTTAAAACAGTCCATTTAGTGACTGAAGTTACAACAGCACTGAAAAAAGAGACTTGGGACTGTTTTTCACGCCACTGTTGCCACGTTCCCAGGGTCACGTGATCAAAATTCAGAGGCTTGGCCACTGACTCACATTTATGACGGTCGCAGTGTCCCCGAGGGGGGGTGTCACTGATCCCCTTTCGTGTTCTTCTGACGAGCAAAAGTCAATGGGGGGAGATCCCCGACTCATTTAACAACCCTGTTGCTAATTTAACAACTGCAGTGACAAGACAAGTCGTAAAATGGGGCAGAATTCAACTAACCTCTCATTTAGCAACAGAATATTTAGGCTCCATTGTTGTCGCAGGTGGAGGACCGAGCTCCCCACTTGTTTGTCGAAGTGTGCAAAATGCACGCACACGCACACACAGAGTTCCTGATGTTAAATACATTGCAGCAGAGCTCTGGGTGTGAAATCTCTGCTCATTCCGCAGGCAAGGGGAGTTAAAAGCACGCCCCAGTGTTTCCTTAACGGCAATCTCTTTTTGAGGGCTGGTTTTGTGGGAAGCTTCTGTGAGCGAGCCGCGTCGCGTTCCCATTCTATTAACGGCAGGCGAGAGATACAGCTGCTCCGCTGGGTCGCCAGTCCATAAAACTCACAAAATGAACCGTACCCAATTTTTGCTCCTTTACATCTAATTCGGAAGACGGAAGGGAGTCTAAGCCCCAAGTTACAGGCTGGGAAATTAAATGATCTCTGAAATAGAATAACGGTAAGGATGGCAGACTCCATACTTGGTTAGATACAGCAAGCGGCTCCGGTGAGCTCCGAGGATGTTAAGTCCACCTGTGGTTTAATTGTGGGTAGCAGTCGGCGCAGATTCCCTTCCACGAGTCACGTGTGGCTTTTGCTCCTCCAATATCTTTGCCCACCCGAGCAGGTGGACGAGAGGGTTTTGTTCTGCTTGATATTGTTTTGATTTATGGACAATTTCTATCAAACCTTTACTCCCAGAGTGGCAGGCAGAATATAACAGAATAACAGAGGGACCTTGGAGATCTTCTAGTCCAACCCCCTGCTCAGGCAGGAGACCCTACACCATTCCAGACAAATGGCTGTCCAGTCTCTTCTTAAAAACTTCCAGTGTTGGAGCATTCACCACTTCTGGAGGCAGGTGGTTCCACGGATTAATTGTTCACACGGTCAGGAAATTCCTCCTTAATTCCAGGTTGCTTCTCTCCTTGATGAGTTTCCATCCGTTGTTTCTTGTCCTGCCTTCTGGTGCTTTGGAGAATAGGTTGATCCCCTCTTCTTTGTGGCAGCCCCTCAAATACTGGAATATTGCTCATCACGTCCCCCCTAGTCCTTCTTTTCTCTAGACTGGCCCTGCTTCGTATGTTTTAATCTGCAGGCCTTTAATCGTCTTAATTAATTTAGAGAAACATCAAAGCAAGATGCTCTAGCTTGGATTTGTAAAAATCCACGAACATCTTTCCAGCTGGATCATCACATATGTTAAAGCTTATCAGCCCGTAATTATTGGCAGTTTCTGACATTGATGGGTTGCAGATCTGATGACTTGACACTTGTAGAGAATGGTCTGGGTGAATTTGAAATCCACCCTTTAAAATCGGGCAGCAAAGGTCACCCAATCAGAGATTTATGTGGCGGTAGTCAAAAGGCATTAAATGTCCCTGCTGCCGTTCCTCTTGCAAGCTGGAAAAATCTTAATAAAACCAATATACGGCAAGAGTAATAACGTTTAAAAAAAAAAAGCAGAAAGAGCAGATTTAACTTGCTGCAATGACGGAAACCATGTTGGAAGAATTAGAGAGAGGACTTTTGATATTTGGGATGTCATTCAAAGTGACAACAGCCCTGAAAAAAAGCGGATTCATTACTGTTTTTCACCTTTAATAATAATAATAAAGTTGGAAGGGACCTTGGAGGTCATCTAGTCCAACCCCCTGTTCAGGCAGGAAACCCTATACCATTTCGGACAAATGGCTGTCCAGTCTCTTCTTAAAAACTTCCAGTGTTGGAGCATTCACAGCTTCTGGAGGCAGGTGGTTCCACTGGCTAATTGTTCTCACTGTCAGGAAGTTTCTCCTTAGTCCTGAGTTGCTTCTCTCCTTGATTAGTTTCCCTCTATTGCTTCTTGTCCTGAGTTGCTGAGTTCTTTTCCATCTCTTTTTCAGGCCCGGTGTTAAAAGTCATATGTGTGGGTTTTTTTTTTTTTTGTTTAAAAAAGCTGGTATAATTCGTGAGCATCTGCCTGGTGTTTTATCTCTATATAAAAAAACCTGTTGTTGGCCTGTTTCAATGTGCAAAAAATATTTTCAGTCTGGGGAGACGTTTTGCCGATTTGACCCAGAATTGCAATTCTCTAGGGCTATATCTGAGCGAGACGTGGGAGATTTATTTATTTTTTTATTTTTTTTTATTTTTCCGACTGCGCTTGTAACATTTCAGGCCTTTTACCAGATTTCACACCTATTAATGAAATCCGCAGAGAGCCAGCGGCCAGTACAGATTGCCAGATGAGATAAGGCTGCTTCGACAGAATATTTACGAACCGAGCGGGGAAATAAAAGCGATGTTTTGAACATACAGCATGTACAGAACAGAGATTGAGCTGTAGTCGGATTCCAGATTTCAAGGCTTCTCCCCCGGCTACCAAAATAATAATTCTTTTATGATCTATTTCCACCTTAAACCTAAAGATTTTTTAATTGCATTGTTGTTGTTATTTACGAAGTCGTGTCCGACCCATTGCAACCCCATTGACAAGGTTCCTCCAGGCCTTCTTGTCCTCTACCATCTTCTGGAGTCCATTGAAGCTCACGCCTATTGCTTCAGTGACTCTGTCCAGCCATCTCATTCTCTGTCGTCCCCTTCTTCTCTTGCCCTCTATCTTTCCCAGCATTAGGCCCTTCTCCAGTGAGCCCTTCCTTCCCATTAGGTGGCCAAAGGACTTGAGTTTCAACTTCAGGATCTGGCCTTCTAAGGAGCACTCAGGGTTGATCTCTTCTAGGATTGACCGGTTGGATCGCCTTGCAATCCAGGGGACTCGCAGGAGTCTTCTCCAGCACCAGAGTTCAAAGGCCTCCATTCTTTGGCGCTCAGCTTTTCTTAAGGTCCCACTTTCACATCCATACATTGCGACTGGGAAAACCATGGCCTTGGCTATACGCACTTTTGTGGGCAGGGTGATGTCTCTGCTTTTTTTTTTTTTTCAATTGCATACACTGGACAACTGTTGGACCACATTTGTCCCATTCTCAAATTTGAAAAGAAAGGGAGTGTTAGGTTTTAATTATTCAACTCTTGAATAAAAAGAGGGAAGGGGCCATCTTGGATTCTCCTTTGGCAAAACAGGTTGTAAAACTGGGCAGACTTAGCAACCGCCTCGCTTAGCAATGGAAACGCAGGTCATAAGCTGAGAGCTACCTACAACTTATCTAAGATCTCTTCCAATATCCCTGTGGGGGTTTCTTGTCTTCTTTTCCCTGGCCAGGACCTTCGAAACCAGCTGGAAAAAATTCAGAATGAGTTGGCGGAAAAAGAAAAAAGGATGGAGCTCCGTTACCAGGTTCTCTTGAACGAAGGGGATCAAAAGCTGCAGAACCAGGAGCTGGTCATCACACGCTTGACGGACAGCGTTGCTCAGAAAGAGGAGCTTCTCCAGGTAAGGAGAACATCTGCTGACGTGGAAGGCCTGAGGTCATTAACGGGGCAGCATCATCATTTGATTGCAGGGCTGTGGTGCGTCAAGGCTGACATCAATTATTTTGGTCTTCTGAAAACAGAGGGACAAAGAAAACGCCTTTCTAAGAGATCTGCCTGCTAAGGACAGGCAGCACATTGTTTGTTTTGTTTTGTTTGCACAGACTCTTGATGGGGTCGTTAAAGAAAAAGATTTGATGCTGCAGGAATGGTCCACTAAGCTTCAAAGCCTGGAGAGAGATAAAGGGAGTCTTCAGAGACAGAACAAAGTCTTGATTGAAGAAAAATGCTCAGCCCAATCCGAGCAGCTGGTGACCAAAATGATGCACGAATTAGAGGTAGACTTGCCTTATTTGACTGAACTTTCTCCCAATTCTCTCTCTCTCTCTCTCTCTCTCTCTCTCTCTCTCTCATCTATCTATATCTCTATCATATCTATCTATCTATGTATCTATGTATCTATCTATCTATCTATCTATCTATCTATCTATCTATCTATCTATCTATCTATCTATCAATCATCTATCTAAACATTCCTGGGAAATCTGTGCCCCACGTTGTCTTTCGAGGCTATTTCCGAAGTCAGCTGCAAGTAGAAGAATAGAATAAAATCAATAATAATAGAATAAAAGCGAGATACAATCAGCAACACATCTCTCTTCAGACTAGAGTTCTGATCTTCTTAAAATTTCCCCCTCCAAGGCTGACAGGTTGACACCCACCTGACAGCGGTGTCCCCTGACCGTAGTTATTTCAATCAACGTTGTTGCGGAAACACAATTTGTGGAGTTGGGTGCTTTGAAGAAAGAGGAGACCAGACGGGAGAATTGGTCCGTATTCTCCAGAGTGGTCCATCTGGCCCATCTCTAGATCAGAACCGCCGTCCTTGTCACAAAAAAAAAAACAAAAAAAAAAAAAACTCAAAAAACCCATCGATGCTTTTGCTGGAGATAAACAGGCTGTTGTTTTTTTTTTCTCCTTTTCAGAGAACCAAACAGTCCCACTACGAGGAAATGCTCGAAACTCTTCGAAAAGAACACGCCATCTTTTCCACTCTGATCAAGTCCCTGAAAGATGTCGACGGGTGAGCATCTACTTTGCCTCAAAGTTGACAGCTGTTCCCGGAGCACTTTGGGGGTGTGTGTGACCTCCAGGGCATGTTTCTCAGGGTTTCTGAACATACCAACGTCTACACAAAACCCACCCAACAGCTACAAGAGAAGAGGAATTCCTTGGCTAACCTGAGTTGCATTATTACAACTCGGTGGTGATCCTGGTCCCAAATTAGGTTCTGCTTAGGTTCGTGAATGAAAAAAATATGGAGATTTCCAAATATTTCCACCTGGCCTTTATGGGTGAGGAGGGGTGGAGTAGATGGGCTGAAGACCAGGTCTGTAAAGACTCTTCTGATGTTCATAAGGGCTGGTTCTCCTAGGAAGACCTTCCTTTTTATTTCTCGGTTGAGGAACAACTCTTGTTTCAAGAAATCGATCAGTGAAGGAACAAGGGACACAAATTAAAATCATAAAAGAGAACCAGGAGGAGGAGGAAGAGAGGAGGAGGAGAAGGGGAAGAGAAGGAGGACAGAAATACCTTTTAACAACAGTTTGGTTGAGGACATTGAATGAAGATCATAAATTTGTCCCAGTGTGGTCCTGAGCTCAACGGACAGCAGTTTAGAGATGTGTTCTGGTTCCTTTCCGGAGGACCGTTTCCCCTCCTTCCTGCACCTCAGGGTGATGGAGTAAGACTTGGATCCATCCTTTTTTTCTTCCTTTTTTTTCTTTTTCCAAGCATCCCTCCTGCCAAGAGCTGAATCCCAGCAGTGTCACCTTTCATCAAGTAATGCCCTTCATTGAGGAAATGAATTTGCAAGCCTTTTGCCATTTAAGTATTTATTCGTTTTTCCAAGTAATGCTTAATTCTGAGGTCTGTCCTTCCTTCCTTCCTCCCTTCCTTCCTTCCTTCCCTCCCTCCCTCCCTCCCTCCCTCCCTCCCATCCCCTTCCTTCTTTCTTTCCCTCATTTCCTTCCCTCCCTTCCTCCCTCATTCCCATCTCCTTCCTTCCTTCCTTCCCTCCCTCCCTCATTCCCATCACCTTTTTTCCTTTCTTCCTTCCTTCCTTCCTTCCTTCCTTCCTTCCTTCCTTCCTTCCTTCCCTCCCTCCCTCCTTCTTTCTTTCCCTCATTCCCATCCCTTCCTTCCCTCCCTCCCTTCCTCATACTCTTCCTCCCTCATTCCCATCTCCTTCCTTCCTTCCTTCCTTCCTTCCTTCCTTCCTTCCTTCCTTCCTTCCTTCCTTCCTTCCTTCCCATCTCCTTTGTTCCTCCCTTCCTCCCTTTTCCTTCAAAAACCATTTTGGCTCCTTTCATAAATAAAAAGAGGGGGTGGTGGAAAGGTTATTTCATGGAGAATCAGGGAACAGACTTTGAAAAATTGCCTTTGTGCTTTGCTTTTGTTTTCTTGAAAGAACTAAGCGTTTAATAGTATTAAAAGCCGTTTCTCCTTCTTAGTCCCTCCCCCCTTTTTTAAAAAGAAAATTCTTCCCTGGATGAAGGAACTGTAGTTAAAAAGCATCCAGGCAGCTGTTGGATTCCCCCCCACCCACTGTGTCTGAAGAAGGCTGGGCAAACACTTTAGGTATTTTTTGCTTTTCATGTCTCTCCTTTGATTGTAGAAATGAATGCAGTGTTCAGATGTTTGCCTCAATTGCCTAACCGCAATTTGCAAATCCGTCTTGAAGGAGACACGGACAAATCCTCGTGTAGCTGTAAAGCTTATTCAGTCTTCATGTAGCCTTTGAGTTATAGCCAGATTCGTTTCACAGCTGTGGGGAAAATCCCGTAAAATGGGACAAAACTCCCGCGAACCATTGCCTTGCTTTAGCCACGGAAAATTGGGGCTCAGTTCCTGCTTGTGCAGGGGCTTGGACTAGACGCCCTCCGACGTCCCTTCCCACTCTGTTATTCTTTTAACGGCAGTTGTAAACCGAAGAGCAGAGGCCTGTAAACGTAAGGCATCCTGGGCCTAGCCTACCTCGCCCGACTGTTGTGAAGATGAATGAAAGGAGAGAGATTTAGAACTCGGCAGCCTGGGAGAAAAAAATGTCAGTGAAATGAATAGATCTCCCCGAAGGCTTCAGAAATTCCAGACACATTTGTGTCCTTGCGGAGGAAAAAATAATACTTTTGAAGCTCAGGATGTCATCCAAGTTTGAAAGACACCACCGCCATGGGGAACAAATGACGTGCTTGTTGTTGTTGTTGTTGTTGTTTAACTTTGATTTTAATCTTCTATAAAGCTCTGTTTATCCTGCCCTTTCAAGAAGCTTTTAAAAGCCGACTTCATTCATTCTCCTTTTGGAAAGGAGAACTTTTATGTCGGAACAAAAAGTTATGCCGGAGGTCCAGAGCACAATTTTTGCAAATGTTTCGTGAGCCTTGAGCTTTTCTCTCCTTCGGTCTTTCAGTTAAAAATTCTTCTTTCTTCTTTCTTCTTTTCTTTTCTTTTTTTTTTTAAAATAGCATAAATAATCTGCAGGAGGAGCTAAACACCATCTTGGCCCTGCGGAAGCAACTTGAAGAAGGCATCCTGGAGACTTGGAATTTGAGGAGAGCGCTAGAAGAGCAAATCCAGGATAACAGGAAGGAGGGTGAGTAAGAATAGACTCTTGCTCTCCAAAGAGAATAGAGAGGATTGTAGAGAAAGGGATACACGGGACTATCTGTCTTCGTGGCTCCATTTTAGGTAGCATCGATCTTCATGTTCATGGCTGCATCTTAGGTAGCATCCATCCTCACATTCATGGTTGTGTAGCACATAAGCGTTGCTTGAGCAGGGTCCGCAAGGTTGTCTGGGACTTTACACATCCTCTTAACGACCTGTTTTCCTTGTTACCTTCCGGGAGGTGAGGGCTTCGTGGTATCCAAAGCAGAACATCCTGATTCGGTCCCAGTTTTGTTCCATACAGTATCAACCTTGTGAACTCTAAAGCTTCCTCCTTCCATTATGTATTCAAGATGGACAGTGATTAACACTTATATGTTACTTATATGTAAGGGTGTAGGTCTATGCATATGTTGTATATCGTATGTGTCATGGTTCCGATAGACGAGACCATTTAAGAGAACTTCAAGGCAAGGATTTCTTCCTTAAAGAACATTTTATTAGGAGACAAGATATCGGCACGTACAAAGGTGAACCCAAGACTAAAATCCACTCCCCCCTGGTTACAAAGTTACAAATTGCAATTCCCACCCCAATTTACTGTTATAAATCACATTCACCAATTGTTACAAAAGGTGGGCTCCCAGTTCTCCCACCGGCCAAAATGTTATCAACAATGACCTTGGTTTTCACACCTAGGAATTGTTTTGGCTAACTGAGAATAAGACACACACACACACACACACCCTTCCTTCTTCATCTAAAATACCTAAGCTAATATCTGGCAACGAAGACAAAATGAAAATGGCTTCAGTTCGCTTTGTCACAGCGTTGACATTATGTTTAAATGTGTGTACACTTTGAGAGCAAGCAACTAAATTTCATTTGCAATGTGTGCCGTTGTGCCCACAGGAAAACAACGACAATAAAGATTAATCTAATCTAACCTAACCCAACCCAACCCAACCTAATCTAATCTAATCTAATCTAATCTAATCTAATCTAATCTATCCTAGATAGCGTCCTTCCTCACGTTCATGGCTCAACTTAGGTGGCATTATTCTGCTTTTTTCACTAGAGGACACCCATTTATCTTGGAGCAATCAGACATCGTACATGAGCATCTGCTTGCGGGACCAGGATCACCGTTGGGACTGTCAAGTTGACCAGCTCTCTGTGGAGGAGCTTAAGAAGAAGGTATTTGGCTCCGCTCTTCTCTAGCCGTGTCTTCGAGAAAGCTCATTAACATCACCACGTCTTATCTGTCCCTGAGACCGCACGGTGAGTGCCGGTCTGATGACAGTTCGCCATGACCAACTTGCTATGGCCAACTCACATTGACCAACTTGACATGGCCCACTTGATGCGGGACCATTCGCCGTGGGACGAGGGTTGCACTAATATCCAAGTAACGGTGGAATAGAGTCATTAAAGAAAAGAATGCCGGAGGAGGGACAGAAACGCGAATGACAAAAATTGAAATATATATTTTTACAATTTTATTTTGAATAATTCAATCAAACTGTTAAATTTTCCTGCGGCGAGTTGTCCCACAGCAAGTTGGCTGTGTTGAGTTGGCTGTGTTGAGTTGGTTGTGTTGAGTTCCGGTACGGGTTGCTTGATGTCCGCCTGCGTAAGTTTGCAAGGAAATTGCAAGGCATCCGAACGTAGGAGATCCTTGGAGTAGCAAATCTAGAATAACCTTCAGGATCCCGCCACCAGTTCTACAAGAATTGAGAGGGATCCCAAGGAGGGTCAGATTCTAGATTAAAAGAGGCCAAATATGGAGTCTACCTCATCTTTGCTTTGGATAAGATGAATTGTCCCCATTTGGGACATGAACGGAGTAGCCTACCTAACTGATAAGCACCTAATTAACCAGCTATTTCTGGCCGGCTCATCATGGTCCTTTCCAAGGTGAATTCCCTGGATTGTGGGAAACATGAGTCAGGCAGGGCATTGTGACGAAGAACCATCTGTTCAAATGGGAACGTAGGAATTTTCCGGAAGGACGTAAGCATTCCCACCGTCTTTGAGGGCTTCTCTTCACGTTTTCCTCAGTTTGTCGAGCTCCTCGGCGTGGTGAAGGAAATGCATTGGGTCATCCAAGAACTGAAAAAGAAGCCGTTTGACTTCTCCACGTCGGATCCTTTGGGAAACGAGAAGCAGAAGTCCTTAGACACAAGCGAGGTGAGACTCGGGTTTCTTATGCCTCCTAAATCCTCCTGAAACTAACACGGTCCCCTGAAATTGTGGAAGTTTTTACGCACCGCTTGGACAACAGATGGAACAAATCCAGACTGCGTGATCTGAGACGTCTTCAAAAGTCGACTGGGATACGGTGGACAGCGTAAGAGAAAAAGAATAGAATAGAGCTGGAAGGGACCTTGGAGGTCTTCTAGCCCTTGCTCAAGCAGGAGAACCTACACCATCTCAGACAGGTGACTGTCCAGTCTCTTCTTAAAAACCTCCAGTGACGAGGTGCCCATGATTTCTGGTGGCGAGCTGTTCCACTGGTTGATTGTCCTGTCCAGTCTCTTCTTAAAAACCTCCAGTGACGGGGTGCCCATGATTTCTGGTGGCGAGCTGTTCCACTGGTTGATTGTCCTCACTGTCAGGAAGGTTGAGCTGTTCTCTTATCCCCCTCCCTGACATTTCCCCCCCTCATCTTGCAATGAATCGCTGGGCCCGATTGCCCTGTTTTAATCCCTCGGAAGTGCACAGCTTGCTATTTTATTTTATTTTATTTAAGAAAAAGAGCACTGCTCGGATCATTTTTTCTGGATCAAAAACCAAGCAGCAGAATGACATTTTTCTACCTTGAGTGCTTAAATCAGACTTTGTGACTCAAGGAGCTGGAAAATGGAATGCTTGCACAACCTGAATATATATATATATATATTTTTGGCTGTCTCTAGCAAATTTGGGGCATAAAGCAGCTGAACCGTGTGCGCAGGTTTGATGAAGTTGGTGCTGGCTCTGGGTGCAAAGTTGCAAACAGTTGTTGGGGAAACAGAGGGAGGGGATGGGTTCCCTCACCCATTATTCTTCTCTTTTCCCGAGCAGATGTTTTAAAATGGCAGAAAGTTACCTGGGATCCAGGCAGGGCTGCAGGAAATCCTCTCCATGGGAGTCTTCTAACTACCTTCTATCCTCCCCCAGAGAGGGGGTCAAGCTATTTTGCAAAGTCCCCAGATAAGGAATGTAGGATGGAAACTAATCAAGGAGAGAAGCAACATAAAACTAAGGAGAAATTTCCTGAGAGTGAGAACAATTAACCAGTGGGACGGCTTTTGCCTTCAGAAGTTGTGGGTGCTTCGTCACTGGAAATTTTTAAGAAGAGATTGGACAATCATGTGTCTGAGATGGTATAGGCTCTCCTGCTTGAGCAGGGGGTTGGACTAGAAGACCTCCAAGGTCCCTTCCAGCTCTATTCTGTTCTGTTTTGTCTTGTTCTGTTCTGCTTGCTCTGCTGTGCTCTACTCTATTATTATCACTGGAAGTTTTTAATAAGAGACTGGACAGCCAGGTGTCCGAGATGGTATATTCTATTTCTACAGGTAGTCCTCAAATTAGAACAGTTCATTTAGTTCCATTGACGGCACTCAGTGAACTGTACTTACCTGTACTCTTATTAATTCTTCAGCGAATTAAAATCGGTGTATTGTCTTGCATCTTCCTTGGTTTTTAGCTTTACCACCTCGGATTCAATTAAAATCCGAACGCCGACTGGCGATAGGACTCCGATAATGGGGTTTATTCTTATGTGGGGTTGGCCCTCACCCCAAAGGTCTTTGTATCCTTCACGTGGGATGTGTTTTTCGATCAAGCTAAGCTGTTTTCTCAGCTGTTTTGCAATCTGCTGATCCCACACGCTCCTCTCCCTCCCCCCCCCGGCCCACCTTTTTAGAAAGAGTCCAAGGGAGCAATCCTCTTAACCCCCTGGCTTTAAGCCCGTCTAACTTCCAACTCCTTGGAGACCTGCAACACCTGGAGCGGTTCTGGCCTCGGAAAAGTGAAAAGCTTTGCTTTTCTCTCCTCTTCTAAACATCTGCTTTCAAAACCGGGAGCTCTTTCTGCCGAGTCCAGCATCTGGGGCCCTCTGGATGGTTGCAAAAGGTTGGCATCTCAGCAACTTTGTCCAGGAAAAGCAGATTCTCAAGGTTTTTGGAACAAGACCGGATCGATCCTCAGAAGCCCGTCCCTTCACCTTGAGCTGGGTGGGTTTTTTTGGGGTGTGTGTGTGTGTGGATTTGGCCTTTGGATCACCACCAGACTCGGTTTCACGTGGAAATGTGTATTTTTATTTCCCCCTAGTTTTTTTCCCACCCTCTCTGTTCAGGTTGGGGACGCCTGTTTTATATTATTATTATTTTAAAAAAGGGAGGCAGGTAGAAAGAAGAGATTGAGGTTGCCAAAGGCAGCTTCTGTGGCGGACCCCGAATGTGATCTCAGCTCTGGGATGGCTTCCGCTTCGGTTGCTGATCCAAGAGGGAGGAAATGTCAGCTCGATCTCAGAAATTCCTGGGCTGTGCCGAGGATTCAGCCAGCTTAGATCAACGACATTTCTGCGCCCAGCCCATGCCGAAGACGCTCGGCTGATTTCACGCCCGCGTTGGCCGGGCTGCAGAAAGGACATTAGGAGGAAATGATTTGATCTTCCTCCTGGCTGACTCGGTCTTCCACCCACCCAAGGTGGATGCAAGGGGGAAATGGCCTCTGATGCTTTCTTGCTTTGATGGGGTCCAAAGTGGCATTTCAGAAGAAACGGACAGGCCCTGTGTGCTCAGTCGCTCCTTTCCACAAAAGGAGCAGAGCGTGGGCAAACAATGTAAGAGAATAATAAAACAGACTAGAATATAGAATAAAATAGAATAGAAAAGAATAGAATAGAATAAGAGAGAATAGAATAGAATAGAATAGAATAGAATAGAATAGAATGTAGACTAGACTAGACTAGACTAGACAAGACTAGACTAGACTAGACTAGAATAGAATAGAATAGAATAGAATAGAATAGAGAATGGAATGGAATGGAATGGAACAATATAATCTGTTCTTAAAAACCTCCAGTGTTGGAGCACCCACAATTTCTGGATTCCAACTGTCCCATTGTTCTCAATGTCAGGAAGTTTCTCCTTAGTTCTAGGTTGCTTCTCTCCTTGATTAGCTTCCATCCGTTGCTTCTTGTCCTGCCCTCTGGTGCTCTGGAGAATAGGTTGACACCCCTCTGCTTTGTGGCACCCCCTGTGATGCTGGAAGACTGCTATCCTGTCCCCCCTCGTCCTTCTCTTCATTAAACAAGACATACCCAATATCAGCAACTGTTCATCCTACGTTTTAGCCTCCAGTCCCCAAATCATCTTTGTTGCTCTTCTCCGCAATGATGGTGAGGGACCGATCTCATTGCATTAAATGCATCCCAGAAACGCAGAATATTAGCCTGTCGGGGGGGAAACCTTCTCAGTTGATAAGGAATTCTGCATTTTGGGAAAGAGTTAGACCTGTGAGTCTCCGGCTGCTCCGATAGTGGATTCCGGAGACAGGTTGAAGTCTCTGAAAGGAGAACCCCAGACCTGTCCTTCCCTGGAAAAAAATGGGTTATTTAATGAATCTTGTAGAGATCCAGAAAGGCCTCACGGATTCAAGACGCATCTCCTTTTTCTTTGCCTCGCAGCGGATAACTCTTTCAAAATAAAACTTTGGGTGAACAGCTCCATTTTATGGGAATTTTCATTTAAGGAAGCGGGGAAATGGCTCTCCAGAGAATTGGTCTCGTTTAAGCAGCGCCTGGTAAAGTTTCCATTAATCGCTAATTGCTATAATATACCAAAGGAATTCTGGTGGGTCTGGATAGTTAGGCTTTTGAAGACGGGGCTGAAAACAAAGAGGGCGAGTGTCTTTTGTGCCCCTTAAAGATTGATAGTGGTGTTAGTTGTGGATGAAGGAAAAACCACCTTTGGTGGCTTGATGTGTTTGTGGGCGGAGGTTACAACGCCAGCTTGGAAGTCTCCATGGGGTCTTCTAGGGGTGAAGTGACTTAATACCACTTGGAATACTGCGTCCAGTTTTGGTCACCACGGTGTAAAAAAGATGTTGAGACTCTAGTAAGAGTGCAGAGAAGAGCAACAAAGGTGATCAGGGGACTGGAGGCTAAAGCATATAAGGAACGGTTGCTGGAATTGGGTCTGTCTAGTTTAACGAAGAGAAGGACCAGGGGTGACATAATAGCAGCCTTCCAATATCTCAGGGGCTGCCCCAAAGAAGAGGCAGTCAAGCTGTTCTCCAAAGCGCCTGAAGGCAGGACAAGAAGCAACGGGTGGAAATTCACCAAGGAGAGAAGCAACCTAGAACTAAAAAGAAACTTCCTGATAATGAGAGCAATTAACCAGTGGAACAACCTGCCTCCAGAAGCTGTGAATGCTCCAACATTGGAGGCTTTTAAGAAGAAACTGGACAGCCATTTGTCCAAAATGGTATAGGGTTTCCTGCCTGAGCAGGGGGTTTGACTAGAATACCTCCAAGGTCCTTTCCAATTCTCCATTGCGGTCGTAAGTCGAGGACTACCTCTTTTGCTGAAACGTGTGTGAATCAAATACTTTTTTTTTTAAGTATCTTTTGGGATGGCAGTGATGCTAAATAACCTCCTATCTGTTGCTCTTGTTTGCAGGGATGTCTTTGTTTTCCCTTTTTTTTTTTTTGGAAAAAAAAAAGCATTACTTGTTTATACATGCGTCATATCACACCGGTTTCCTTTGACCAATGCAGCGTTTTTTTCATCCCATTCCACACTTTTGCGTAGCTTCTTGAGAGAACGGAGGGAAGTCAGACTCTGCTGGGGGCCTCCGACGAAGAGGCGAGTGGGCCGAGCGGCGACTGCGCGGAGACGCTGAGCGAGGTGGGAGTTGGTTCACTCAGCGGCCTTTTTTTAGGCTTCTCCCTTGCGGGCGTGTGAAGCTCTGCAATGCCAGAGAATGAATGGCTCCGATGGGTCCTTCAAGGATAGGCGGGGCGGTTGGGTTTGAAGTTTGTCTCTCTTTGGTGGCCTGAAGAGAAATGCCCAGCAAGGATTCATGGGTTTACAATTCCATGTACGCCTCGCTGAAGTTACAGGCTGATGGGAGGAAAAAAACTCCAGTTCTTCTGTCATTGCTCTATTAGTGTTCCTCCCCTCCCCTTCCCTTCTTCACCCATTTACTCCTTTCCCTTCCCTTCCCTTCCCTTCCCTTCTTCACTCATTTACTCCCTTCCTTTCCCTTCTTTACCCATTTACTCCCTTCCCTTCTACACTCATTTACTCCCTTCCTTTCCCTTCTTCATCCATTTACTCCTTTCTCTTCTCTTCCCTTCGCTCATTTACTCCCTTTCCTTCTCCTTCCCTTCTTCGCTCATTTACTCCCTTCTCTTCCCTTCCCTTCTACACTCATTTACTCCTTTCCCTTCCCTTCTTCATCCATTTACTCCCTTCTCTTCTCTTCCCTTTCCTTCTTCGCTCATTTACTCCCTTCCCTTCTCTATCCTTCCCTTCTTCACTCATTTATTCCCTTCCCTTCCCTTCTTCACTCATTTACTCCTTTCCCTTCCCTTCTTCATCCATTTACTCCCTTCCCTTCTTCACTCATTTACTCCCTTCCCTTCCTTTTCTTTCCTTTCCCTTCTTCATTTACTCCCTTCCCTTCCCTTCTCTATCCTTCCCTTCTTCACCCATTTACTCCCCTTCCCTTCCCACTTCCCCTTCTCCCTTTTGCCTTCTCTTCTGTTCCACCCCTCCCTTCCCCTATCCCCTCCCCTCCTTGACCCAAAGGGGGAATCCATCATGGGCATTTCTGCTTGGGCTGTTGAGCAGAGTCACAAACCCTGGTGCTGGCTCAACCCAGGACAGGACCCAAGTCTCTGCAAGGCTGGATTTCATTGTCAGCGTCCCAACTCCAGCATCCAGGTGGTTACTACGGGGTCTTTTCTCTTTGGCCAGAGTCAATGGCTCTCCTCCACTTCTCCTGCCTCTAGATTGGCGGACAGGGGCCTACATGCTTCCTTTCTGGCAGTCAAAGACCAATGCCTCTTTTCCTTTCCATCAGATCATCCCTTTAGACTCTTTGGATCAACCTTACAAGACCCTGAACCCGCCGGAGTTTGAAGCTGAGCCGGTGGCTGGCAAATACTTTGACGGGAGCGCAGCGGGCAACCATTGTGAGAGTCAGGAAGAGACGTCTTCGCCTGTGTGCCTTCCGAATGAAAACAGAGCGGCAGAATTGGGATCTCGGTGAGTGAGCAGCTCAGACACGGCAATTTGGACAGCCGTCTTCCTGGAGGAACGAAGGAAGCAATTGCACGGAAAGTCGAAAAGGGAGATAATGGCCCCTTCTCTAATTTACCTGGGAGAAACTAGCTAGCTGCTTCGGAAGGGTTTCAGCTCCTCATGCAATTAAGTAATCAGGAGAGCAAAGCTAGATTTATGGGGCGACTTTCCTTCTTGGCAATTTAGGGGGTGGCGTGGAGGGAAGAGGCTTCCTCCAGGGAGGGGGCCAAGCAGGTGAGACCACCCACGTCAAATTGAATAGAGTCTAATTCTATTGGCTTTCAAAAGCCAATCGGAATTGTCCAGGCTGTCTCTGCCCTGCTGAGCCCGCCAAAAGTCCCATTCTGCCAACGGTGCTGCACCAGTTGAGTAGTCCTCGACTTACGACCGGTTGAGTAGTCCTCGACTTACGGCCGGTTGGGGGCCGCAGCATTAAAAAGGTTGAGAACCACTGAGCTAGACTCTCCTGTGCATCCCCCCCACCCCCCCCAGCATCATCTAACTCTAAAAGCGAAAAAAGAGAAAATGGCTGCATCTCCATCTGTTGTCATCCAAAGTTGGCAACCCTGCTGAGTTGAGGACCGCCTGTTTTGAACGCTTCATTCTGGAAAAAAAACAGCAGAGTGAGTTTGGCGTTTAGCCACTGCCTCCGGAGCCCTTGAGGTTCCTCTCTGCCCTTTTGCGTCTCCACCGAAGCTGCCCGACTGTGATAAATGAGAAAATTATTCCCATTTTCTAGGGGGAAAAAAATGGCAGCTCCCATCCAAGGATTTTGTTGTTGTTGTTTTTTCCTGGCCAGCCTGCTATTTATTTTTAAACCGTCGCCAAATTATACCTAATCGTTTCTGGATAACTGTTTGGATTAAGTGTATTTCTGAATCTCTCCTATTTTGTTTTCCTTTTTTTTTTTTTTTAAAGCAACACCTACTGTTTGGTTAATCCTCCACCCCCAAAGTTTCTCCTCTGATTCTCTTTGAGGGGGTTGGCATGAGAAAGGATTTATTTAGGCTTTATTGTGAGCCTGGAAACTGTTTTGCGGTTTCTTCTTCTTCTTATTTTTTTAAAAAAATCATTTTGTTATATTTCTCCCTCCGCCCCTCTACGCTCCTGGCATAAAAAAGCAGGCAAGAAGAGAAGAAAGCTGCAAATAATCCATTAGAGCCTCAGAAAATCGCCGAGCAAGACAGTTTAAATGATGATCTGGAGAATAAAGAGGAAGGTGATCTTAAGCAGTTGATTATTCAGCTGAGAGCTGAACTTGAACAGCTCATGCAAGCCAACGTCACGTTGAAGCAACAAGGCGAATCGCAACCTGCGCCTGGCCTAGATGGAAATGGGCACGAGTTGGACGTGGAGATGGAATCGTCCAAAGTGGAAGTGAAGGACACGGCTACCCAAACGGTAACCGGGTCGGACGGCACCACGAGGCCCAAGCACGAAGGCCAAAGGACGCCGGTCTCTGAAGATGGAGCTGCCCCCCAATCTTCTTGGTTTGACAAGGATTGCTGGCAGAGGTCCGTCTCTGTCAAGGGCGATCCGCAGAAGTCTCTCCTTCCGGTCAGCAAAGCAAACAAAGTGAGTATCGATTGGAGAAGGCGCCTTGTAGCTCAAGGTTGACTTGCGGGATCCTCGGGGCTCTCTGAGCTGGGTGGTCGTCTTGCAGACGTTTCACGACCCACTAGGGAACATCATCGATACTAGAAGGAAGTGGAAGGTGCTAGTCCCTGATAGCTCTGATGATGTCATCTAGTTTGGTCATGAAACATCTGCAAGAAAGACAGAGGAGGAGGAGGAGTCAACCTTGGTGCTCTCTGAGCTTGGTGGTTTTCTTGCAGACGTTTCATGACGTTTCATGACCCAACTAGGTAACGTCATCAGTGCTAGTGAGTACATGGCAACTACAGAATACATGGAAGAAGAAATCCTTGCTGATCTGGTTGAGTTAGTGTCAGGGGCCGCCCAGTGAAAGATAGAGTCCCATAGTCTCTAGTTGGCCTTGTTTTCCCTATATGGACCTGGATCTCTGCTTTGGAAGACACCAAACACATTTTGCGCTCCGGCCCAACTAAGCTAAATATGTCCAGGCCAGGTGAGAAAGAGACACTTGGTCTGAAGCAGGTGGGAAGGTAGATGCCTTTCCATGAGCCCTGCTCTGCTCAGACACCGTTGGTGGACCTCCTGAAAGATCTGTAGATGTTGTTGGTGGACCTCCTGAAAGATCTGCAGATGTTCAGCTCTTACCACGGAGGATCGCTGGACCATTTCAATTTTTCCCCTCTCTCTTCCCAATCCCCTCACCCCTTACTCAGCGAGTAACTGAGGCAAAGAGATCTCCACTCAGGGTGGGCCTTCAAGGGGGGGGGCTTTGTCCCATCACCACCACCCAGGAGAAACTCTGAAGCAGTGGGAGTAACATCGCTTCTAGCTATTAGCCGTTATTCTCTATTACAGCTAATCAGTCGCTGCTAGAGCCCTTTTCCTGAACATCCTTAATGCGCAGAAATAACGGGCCATTTTCGTAGTTATTGCAACATTCAAGGGTAATTTCTTAAGTTAATGATGCATGGGGTGTCGATGTGCTTCCATTTTTTTTTTAAATCTTTCTGAACTTGCGAGGGTTCACAGGAAGAAAGGGGAGGAAGAAGAAAGGTAGATAAGAATTACATTTTAAAAAGAATCTATAGAAATCCAGCTTGCTAAGTTTACAGGTGGCGCTTCTGCCCAAACTCAGCCCAAACACTCCCTTGTTTTGCAGCCCTGCAAGGCTGATTTTTTTTCTTCTTCTTCTTCAGTTGCGGTGTGTCCTCCCTCCCGCACACCCCCAGACACAAAAGGCACCCCCTTTTTTTTCTCCCCCCTCAGCTTGTCCTGGATTCTATCAGACTGCATTTCCTTCTCCTTCTGGTCTTTATCGAGGTGCCGCTTAATCTTTTCTTGGTCTCCTGTTTTGTGCAGAGCAACTCTTGTTACCAACCTAAGAAATCTCGCTTGCCTGTTTTACTGAAACCCTCAAGATCCATGGGGAGCATCTCCTTAGTGACCCCCCTGCCCAGGCCAGATCTCCAGCATTGTGTCTTCACCCTGGACCAAGGGCTGAAGGGAAGGCCCCTCCGAGAAGAGGCCCAGCAAAGTGAGGCTGAGGGTCATGGCTCCAACCGGAAAGACGTATGGGAAGAAGACAAACAAGCAGGTATGGTGAGATAGCACAGAAGGAAGCCAACCAGACTTTCTCCTCTTCCGTTCCTTTGGTCTAACAAGTGTGTGTGTGTGTGTGTGTGTGTGTGTGTGTGTGTGTGTGTGTGTGTATAGAGAGAGATATAGATAGATAGACAGACAGACAGACAAGTAGAGAAGTAGATAGATAGATAGATAGATAGATAAATAGATAGATAGATAGATAGATAGATATAGAGTTAGATATATAGATATAGATGGATATAGATAGATAGATAGATAGATAGATAGATAGATAGATAGATAGATAGATGATATAGGATAGATAGATAGATAGATAGATAGACGGATGGATGATATAGGATAGATAGATACATAGATATAGTTAGATATATACATGGATGGATAGATAGATAGATAGATAGATAGATAGATAGATAGATAGATAGATACATAGATATATAATATATATATGATAGATATATAGATATATATATAATAGATAGATGATTGATAGATAGATATAGTTATTTAGATAGATAGATAGATAGATAGATAGATAGATACATAGATATAGTTAGATGATAGATACATAGATATAGTTAGATAGATACATAGATAGATATAGATGGATAGATAGATAAATAGATATAGATGGATAGATAGATAGATAGATAGATAGATAGATAGATAGATAGATAGACAGACACTTGTCACGAAAGAGGCAACAATAGTTGAGTTTTATTTTCATTTTGTTCAGTTTCTCCAATTATCATGTTATGCTTTAGATAACATACAGACAAAAGAAGATAAACTTAGAAAAAGTACATGGATAGACTCACGAAAGAGCCTAAAGGAGGTTAAACAGAAAAATACTGTATATATACAAGGAATATGTTATTCTTGTTCCAAGAATGTAATAAACGCTTACTTTTAACAGTTAGTTTAAAACAGTTAGCAGAATCACCATTTCCCCCTTAAAATAGAAAGCGGCTAGTGAATTTTTAAAAAATTCCTTTCTCCCCCCCCTTTTCAAATTTTATTTTCATTTTTAAACATTGTCATTTCCCGCTCACTTAAACTCAAAATATCACCTTTTTTTTTTTTTCAGAAGCATCGGCAACCAAACCAGAAGTCTTTGAAGCAGATGTTAGCCCGCCCAGCATCCAAAGCCCTGTCCAAACAGACCAGGATCAGAGCATCAGCAACTTGACCCAATTAGGTACATTTTCCCCTACTTTGAATTTCTGCAGCTGTTATTATTTTTATACGGGTGCAATTTGCAACGTGTACAGTTTGCAAACCCAACTTACAAAAAAAACAACAACAAAAAAAACCAAAACAAAACCCAAAATACAGGTTAGCCATGTGGTTACTGCTGTTAAACTATTCTGTCTAATAGTTGACTTGCTGAAGTGAATTGTTCCTCTCCAGCCTCCTGTTTGTAGTTTGGAAAAGCAGCTTCTGAGAATTTTTATATATATATATATATATATATATATATATATATATTTGACTTGTCAGCGGTGTATAATTGATGTATAATTGGAGGTATAGCTTCCCTCTGAGCCGGAAGCGATGAAATTCCTCTGATCCTCTCTAATTTTATTTTTAAATTGCCATTAGTGCCTTCTAACAAGCACATTTTGTGAGCTACAAAAAAAAAAATCTCTTTCCCCGTTTCCCCGCCTCCATTTGAATTTCTCAGGACGTAACTGAACAAGCTTCAAGTGGTTCGTACACGGGATTAATGATCATGGAGTGAACCTGCTACCAGATTTTCCATTCCCTCTTCCTAGACATCAAAGAGACCTCCAAAGCTACTCCATCAATAATTTCTTTCATTGCAAAATGGAATAACAAATAGGAAAGGGAAGAGAAAGCGGCTGCATACAAACACCAGCAAAATTAGAGTGTCTTTTTTTTTAAACCTATATGCACACGGACATTTATTTAATTATGTGAAGAACTACAGGTAGTGGGGAGCCTAAGGTGGCAGGCTGAAATTAAAAAGGCACAGGTTGAAGGCTACAGCTCAACCTCCCCACCCCCATGGAAGCTCATTAAATGAGGTTTTTTTTTGTGCCAGTCATTCTCCCTTATCTCGGCTTACAACTCAGGATCGGCAACTAGTGAAAAGAAATTGGTAGCAGGAATGTGATGGATGCCATTTTAAGCGGCTGGAAACAGGCTGGGATATACATCTAAGACATAAAGAAGTGTAAAATGGTACCAATGGAAGAGAACATTCGTAACTCGGGGTTGAACTGTGGGGTCTTTGGTGCTCTCTGATATTGTTTTGTGGCAGACGTTTCATAACCCAATTAGATAACATCATTAGTTTAGAAGGGAGTGGGGTTTGTGGAGAGGAGGAGGTGGTGGTGGTGTGGTGGTGGAGGAGAACTGTAGGCTGTTTGGTGCTCTCTGAGCTGGCTTGTTTTCTTGCAGACATTTCATAACCTAACTAGGTAACATCATCAATGCTAGAAGCTTGTTCATAAATACATTTCACCCTGAACATTCCTGCGACCCGGAACAAACCCTTCCAGCTTTCATCAAGATGGGCAGGAGGGCAAGGAGACAATAACAGAGTTAGAAGGGACCTTGAAGGCCATCTAGTCCAACCCTTGCTCAGGCAGGAAACCCTGTACCATTCCAGACAAACGGCTGTCCAGTCTCTTCTTAAAAACTTCCAGGGTTGGCGCATTCACCGCTTCTGGAGGCAGGTTGTTCCACTGGTTAATTGTTCTCACTGTCAGGAAGTTTCTCCTTAGTTCTAGGTTGCTTCTCTCTTTGATCAGTTTCCAACCGTTGTTTCTTGTCTTCTCTTTGGTTAAATGCCTTTGCCTTTTTCCATTTCAGAAACCGAAAGGAAGACCCCCGGGTCAAGACAGTCTGCTTTGCAAGAACTTCTCCCCCCGGTTGATGTCCCTCAGAAGCAGTGCAGGGATGTCACGGCCACGTTCCGGGATGGGAAGAGCCCTTCTCTTAAGCAGAGCGTCATGAGCTTCGATGTGTTTGATTGCGAAGCTGTGGATGACATTGAAGACTTGAGGCAAAGGATCCGGGATCTGAAGTCCATAATGGAGAAGTATCAGATGCTGCTGGTCCAGTTTGATCTGGTCGAACAGCCTCCTCCCAGCGACCCTCTGGATCACCTTCGGAGTGATGGGGAGAGCCCTTCTCCTGCAGGGTTGAAGGAAAGCGACCCGGAATGGACCAGCTTCTCCAACGAAACGCAGCTGAAGGAAGGCGTGGAGGAGGAGGATGGATCTGGACCCTCAAATGACCAGACCCTGCAGAAGCTCAAAGAGTTGTTGTCGGAAAACGAGGCTGAACTCGAGAAAGAGCAGATGGCCAACATGAAGCTGGTTGATGAGGTCCATCGTCTGCACGACAAGCTGAAAAGCCTGTCCCAGGCCGGGTGAGTAGCCCCCGGCTCACCCTTGGAGAAAGGGTTGTGGTTGAGGGTGCCTACAAATCAAAACAAAACAAAACCGTGGTTATACTCCAGGTAGTCTTCCACTTTGACTTCCATTAAGTCTAAGTGCTGTTGGTATTGCTACCTATCATCTACCTATCAATCTATCTACCTGTCAACCTATCTACCTACCTACCTATCTACCATCTAGCTATATATCTACCTATCAACCTATCTACCTACCTATCTATCAGTCTATCAATCTACCTATCTACCTCTCAATCTCTGTACCTATCTATCTACCTATCAACCTATCTGCCTACCTACCTATCAATCAATCTATCAATCTACCTATCAATCTATCAACCTACCTATCAATCTATCATCTACTTATCTACCTATCAATCTCTTTACCTATCAATCTACCTATCAACCTATCTGCCTACTTACCTATCAATCTGTCCTCTACCTATCTACCTCTCAATCTCTCTACCTATCTATCTACCTATCAAACTACCTGCCTAACTACCTATCAGTCTATCAATCTACCTATCAATCTATCATCTACCTATCTACCTATCAATCTATCTACATCTCTACCTATCAATCTATCTATCAGTCTACCTATCAATTTATCTGTCTACCTATCAATCTATCTATCTATTCATCTGTCTGTCTGTCTATCTAACCCCAATCCTTCCAATTCTGTTTATTCTAATTATCTGCTCTTATGTCAATCTGAAGACTCAGAAACTCTGTATTTTAGGGAATGGCAGAGAAACACCACCTTCAACCATCTTACCTGTCCAGTTTATTCCCCTGTTAGGCTTTTTATTTAAAAAAAAAACGCAGCCTCTTCCCCTTGAGAAAAATCAGCATTTGATTTGCACTTGTCAAAGCCCATGATAGGAAGGGGAAAAAGAACCACAACCACCCCCTCCCCCATTCCTGTAAATGAAATGCAGAAATATATCATCTAGGCAAAGGAATGGAAAAATCCATCCTGGAGCACAGCGGGAAGCCTGTCCTCAATTTTATTTTCTGCGTTAAAGCACATTTTGGTTCGAACCCGGTTAGCCAAGCTGAACCGGAGAAGTGAAAATAGGTTTGCAAACACCCAAATATCATTCTCCATAGCCGGGGCTGAGCTCCTGATCTGCCTCATCTCTCCTGGATAGATACAGGAAGAAAAAAAAAAAGAATATCAAAGGATTGGCAGGACCGATGGAAGGATTTATAACAGTTTCGTCTAGATTTGCAGAGAGTCTCAAACAGGGGCCGGTTCCAACCTTGCTCAACTTGCAACCCTCGTGGACTTCCATTCCCAGAATTCCCCAGCCAGCACAGGGGAATTCTGGGAGTTGACGTCCACAGGTCTTGTGGTAATTCTGGAAAGGGATGAAAATCTCAATTTTGTTTTCCCTATCAAGCACCTGAAAAGGGTGTGTGTGTGTGTGTGTGTTAAGGGATTATTGTTTTTCTGGTTAAACACAGGCAGCCCTTGACTTAACGGCCACGGTTGCAGAGCGAAACATTCGTTAGGTCCATTTTGTCTCATTGTGCAAACTTTCCTTGCCAGAATGGTTAAGGGGATCCCTGCAGCTGTTAAGTTCGTAACCCAGTTTGTTGAGTAAATCTGGATTTCCCCGTTGACTTTGCTTAGCAGAAGGCCGCAAAAGGAGATCACACGATCCCGTCATAAGTACAAGTCAGTTGCCAAGCGTCTGAATTTCGATCGCCTAGTTATGGGGATGCTGCGAGGGTGGGATGAAAAAAACCAAGTCCCTTTTTTCAATCACTAAATGAACTGTTATAAATCGAGGACTTACCTGTATTGGGGGTTTTTTTTTATTTATTTTTTGTTTGTAAGCCGCCCGGAGTCTCTAAGAGCGAGCGGGCGGCCATATCAATTTTCTCAACAAAATAAATAATCGTTTAGAAAGGGCAGCTGCAGAAAGCTTGGCTGGAGCTGTGGCTTTCGTTTCGCAGGCAAGCTCTCTCCCTCTGCCCGTCACTTCCCGAGCGGTCCCAACGCCAGGAAATCCACCGGAGCCACCACATTTGTGCCACGTACCGACAACACCTGTCCAACTTGATCCGAACTTTCGAAGATCTCCTGCGGGACAGCGAAGTGGATTACTACGTGGCCGAGAGCTTCCGGGAGCAGCTCAACCAAAGCGCCCAGCTGTTTGAGAGGCTGGAGCATCAGTGTCTCTATGGTGGGTTGCTGTCACCTTCTTGAGAACTTTGGCGGCGGTGGTTGGTGGTGGTGTCCATCTTCTGATTGTCCCTCCAGGCTTCACCCCCCGTCCCATCATGACTTCGGGTTCTGTGGACCAAAAAAAGAAGGAAAAAAGTTATTGTTAGTTGCGAAGTTGTGTCTGACCCATCGCGACCCCATGGACAATGTTCCCCCAGGCCTTCCTGTCCTCTACCATCTTCTGGAGTCCCTTGAAGCTCACGCCTACTGCTTCAGGGACTCCATCCAGCCACCTCCTTCTCTGTCGTCCCCTTCTTCTCTTGCCCTTCATCTTTCCCAGCATCAGGCTCTTCTCCAGTGAGTCCTTCCTTCTCATTAGGTGGCCAAAGTACTTGAGTTTCAACTTCAGGATCTGGCCTTCTAAAGAGCAGTCGGGGTTGATCTCCTCTAGGACTGACCGGTTGGATCGCCTTGCAGTCCAAAGGAAAAAAAGACAATGGGTCAATTTAGGCCTCCACTCCCAGCCCTGAGTTTCTACTTTCCCCAGCACCGTGCCTTTTAGAGACATGGGACTACAGTTCCAATCATCCCTAGCCAGCCAGCCAGGGTCAGTCTGCTTGGGAAGGATGAGAAGACCCTTCTGAGTGGGCCCAGGTTTGGGAAATCTGCTCTGCCTGTTCCAACTTGCTTTACTGATTTATGTAATCCCTAAATCGGGTCTTCAAACTGGGCCACTTTAAGACTTGTGGACTTCAACTCCCAGAATTCCTCAGCCAGCATGGACCACATAAGCCATTAGTAAACAGCCCAACCAAATAATCTCTAAGACCCCCCCCCACACACACACAGACAGACAGGCAAGACCCCAGAATATAAACCGACAGCAAACAGCACTCCTTACTACTATAGCACTGATGTGACCTAGTTAGGGTAATGAAACGTCTGCAAGAAAACAATCAAGCTCAGAGAGCACCAAGGACCCCGTAGTTGTCGTCCTCCTCCTCCTCTTCCTCCTCCTCCCTTTTAGCACGGATGGTGTCACCTAATTTGGGTCATGAACCATCTGCAAGAAGACAAGCAAGCACAGAAAGCACCACGGATTCCTCATTTCAAACATTTCAACCATGAGCTACACATATTCCCCTTCATTGTAATTGATTTATTTATTTTCTTCTCCCTGGCTTTGTAGGAGAATCAATAGAGGAGGACATGACCAAGCTCTGCCACCTTGCCCAGAGGTAGGTCCTAGAATGGCTTTCTATCAGGACCTTCCCCTGTTTTTAAATGTTGAGATGGAATTGTGCGCTGAGCAAACATCCGCCTGAGCACTCGTCCTCCTGTTTGGTGTGCCTGGGCATTTTGTGGAGATCTGTCTACACAATGACAACTTAAGGAGAAACTTCCTGACAGTGAGGACAATCAACCAGTGGAACAGCTAACCCCCAGAAATTGTGGGTGCTCCATCACTGGAGGTTTTTTAAGAGGAGACTGGACATTCACCTGTCTGAGATGGTATAGGTTCTCCTGCCTGAGCAGGGGGCTGGACTAGAGGACCTCCAGGGTCCCTTCCAGCTTCTATTCCTATAGAGCCATTTATTTTCTTTGGGGGGGGGGCACAGCTCAATCCTTCCCTCTCTTGGTGGTACATCCCAATTCAAACAGAACATCCAGCAAAATACAGGTAATCCTTGACTTACGTTCATTTAGTGCCCGTTTGAAGTTATAACGGCGCCGAAAAAAGGGACTTAAGACTGTTTTTCAGGCTTACAACCGTTGCAGCATCCTCCATGGCCACCAGATCAAAACTGGCAAATGGCTCATGATTATGACATGTTGCAGTGGTCTGGGCTTCCATGCGATTCCCCTTCTGCGGCCTTTTGACCAGCAAGGTCAATGGGGGAGCCATTAGTAACAATCTGATGAGTCCCGTGATTCCCTTAACCACGGTGGCCAGCAACGTCGCAAAGTGGGGCAAAGCTCCAAGCTTAACAAGCGTCTCACTGAGCCACAGGAATTTGGTCATCAACCGTAGTCGTAAGTGGAGGACTCCCCGTATTTAAAGCTTGCCCATTTTCTTTCTCCCTGTAGCTTGTCTGACTTTGAGGTATCCCAGCACCTGACCTCTTTGGAGGTGCCCACGCGTGGACAAGAAGAAGCGGAGAGCGGGAAGGAGAAACCCTCTGCCACCCCAACCAAGTTTCCACCAGGTAAACATTGGTCTGTCTGGCCGATGCGCCGGGAATGCTGAAGGAGTGACAGTCTTGCCGAGTCAGAGTCACCGAATGACAGAGTTAAAAGGGACCTTGGAGGTCTTCCAGTCTGACCCTCTGCTCAAGCCAGCAGGCTGGACTTGGAGGTGACTCTTTGTGCCTTCAAATCCAGCAGGTAAGGAGTTTTCAAAAGGACAGGATGCATTCATGGAGGAGTCCACCTTCTGAGATCCTTACATGGGCTCCAAAGGCTGTTTCGGCTTGGCTTTGACTCTTGAAAGCTCAGAAGCCTATTCCACCCGTGGGTTCCTCTTCACCTGTGGTTTGTGAGTTTCTTTTTAACCCCCCAAAAATGCCCCTAAACTGCCTGCCCAATAATCAGCAGGCAAGGATTAAATTCTAGGCTGTCCAACTTCAGAGAAACCGGTGTCGGCTTTCCTACGTTGCATAATTGATGGGAGCCCTGGCCCAGAAACGCACACCTTGTGCATCCGTTGCCTTCAGGTTGCAATCGGCAGGCTGACAACCGGACAGCGCCCAAAAAAAAAACAAAAAAACATTTGGCGACGGCCACAGGAGTTTAGAAGCTTAGACAGTGAGTGAGCAGAACGACAAGACCCGGGCTGTCAAATGAAGGGAACGACCCCGGAGCGAAGCAGAAATGCAAAGCCGGTGGGGAACGGTCCGTTGCTCCACCCATTGCGCCCTCAAAGGTACAAGAATACAAGCGGGCAGAAGCAGCGAGACCCTCGGTGCTTCGTTTTAGCTGACGCAAGGCTCAAAGCCACGCTCACTTCATGGAATTATTTTTCCAGATCGGGTCAGCGGAAATTCAGAGCATGTTGCAAAGCGAACGGGCCTGAAACAGGAAGAGCGTCTTTAGATGACACTGGATACTGGGTGTCTGTTTTTTCCAGTGAGCTGGATTATGAAAATAACTAAGAATTGGAGAGCAACATTTTTGGGTGGGTCTAGGATGGCTGGTGGTGGGCCTGCTTTTGAAGGACAGGTCCTGGATGGAAGGAGAAAGGAGTTGAAGCAACAGGGGTGCCAGTGAATTGGGATATTGTGGTCTGGGCAGATTTCTTTTAATTACCCAGATGGAGAAAAAAAGTGCCTTTTTTCTCACACAGTTGTGCCCACCAGTATTTTAATGTAGATGGTTTTTGAGGGGGTACCCCATAATTCAGGAGCTAGTTAAGTAGCTAAGCTGGGAAACTCACTTTGTCACGTTATGTTTCCTCTGTAGGGGAATTTTAATAGCATCTAATACTAATCACTTCAGTTGCCTGTCACCCTTTCTACAGGCATCTTGTTCTGGATTGCCATGTGACAGAAATGGTGTAGGGTCGCCTGCTTGGGTTGGACTAGAGGACCTCCAAGGTCCTTTTGAACTACGTTATTCTGTTCTAAGTACTCTGCCTCTTACTCCAGTTTTAGTTTCTTTCTTTTATATACCACTTCCAAGACGCTAAGTGGCTACATTTCTTTATTTACTAACTGGTCTTCCAGATAGCTGGACTGCAGCTATCGAGAAGACTAGTTAGTAAATAAAGAAATGTAAATGTAAATAAAGACTAGTTAGCAAATAAAGAAATATAAATGTAAATAAAGCTGCTGGGTTGCAGCTCCAGGCAGTTTCCTTCCTCCCGTCTATCTCCTGCTGTCCATCTTCGCTAGTTTTTTTAAGCCGTTCTCCTCCTTCTGAAGGGAGGTGGCATCAAAAAAAAAAAAAAGATTGCTTGAGCAGAAGACCTTTTAGGTGGATGAGATGAAGTTGGGCCTGTGCATGACGTGTTTAAGGGATATCGGGTGTCCCATGTGGCCTGGGAAGGGAATTGGACTTGATTTTGAAGGTTTCTTCCCAATATCTGGAGGAGCCATCACTGACCCCAGAAGGTTTGCAGCATCCTAAACTCCACATTGCTTCCCTGCCACCTCCCAACCTAAGCTGATTAGAGCCAATCTCTGGAATTTCTTCAGAGCTGTTGATGGAACATCTCCAAGAAATACGCTTGCTGAGACATCGGCTGGAAGAATCCATAAAAACGAACGAGCATCTGAGGAAGCACCTGGAGCAACAGGTCCCAGTTCCCGGCCCAGACCAAGGTAAGATGCTTTGGTGCCTAAGTCCTCAGAGACCCATGGCCTCTGCTCCCGTGGCAGGGTGTGGCTCACACTTTCGCAGTTTTGGTGCTGCCCACTACCCCATACAAGTCACCCAGAGGACACCAGATGTAGAAGCATCATCAAGGCACTGATGATCATCCTTGGTCATCACGCAGCACTGATGATGTTCCCCGGTTGGGTAATGAAATGTCTGCAAGAAAATCACCAAGCCCAGAGAGCATCAAGGATGACCTCGTCCTCCTCCTCCCTGCAAACTCACTTCCTTCTAGCACTGATGATGTTACCTAGTAGGGTCACGAAATGTCTGCAAGAAAACCACCAAGCTCAGAGAACACCAAGACCCCACAGTCGTTGTCGTCCTCCTCCTCCTCGCCAACCCAACTCCCTTCTAGCACTGATGATGTTACCTAATAGGGTCACAAAATGTCTGCAAGAAAATCACCAAGCTCAGAGAACACCAAGGACCCCACACTCCTCCTCCTCCTCTTCCCTGCAAACCCACTTCCTTCTAGCACTGATGATGTTACCTAGTAGGGTAATGAAATGTCTGCAAGAAAACCACCAAGCTCAGAGAATACCAAGGACCTTCCTCCTACTCCTCTCCCCCCCCTTCTCCTCCTCCCTGCAAACCCAACTCCCTTCTAGCACTGATGATGTTACCTAGTAGGGTCGCGAAATGTCTTCAAGAAAACCACCAAGCTCAGAGAAAACACCAAGGTCCTCCCCCTCCTCCCCCCAGTTCAACCCTCTTCTATCACAGCAGATATACTAACCAGGACACAGACGACCCGTCCCTCTGTTTTGTGTTTGGGCTGGAGCGGCTCCCCTCTAAAAAAAAGAGCTCATTTTGCTTTGCACAGCCGCCCCCGACCTTTTGCAAAAGCAGCCCCCGGCACCAGGATCCTCTCCCTGCCAAGCCCTATCGACCGGCTTCTGTTGAGGCAGCTGGAATCCTGGATCAGCAGGAGAGCTCAAAAAGCAGCCAGCCAACCCTGACGTTTCCCCCCTTCAAAAAAATAAAATGAAATAAATCAAAACCTGCGGGGCAATTTACTAGGTTGTTGCAAATGACAGCAAAGCTGTCTGTTTACAATCTCTGGCTGGTGGCCCAGATTAAATAGAGGAGCCTTGTTTCTCCCCCCCCCCCCACCATTATTAGCCAATAGGCAGCCTGGCTGATATCAGCCCAGGATACAAACTCCGTTTGGGGTGACTTGCTAAAAAAAAAGTCCAGCTGGATTCTTTTTTTTTTTTTTTGCCCTGGTACCCGTGATAACCTTGAGAATATATCGGGGATAAATAGCTTTTCTTCTCTCTATTTTTTTTTTAAAAAAACCTCCCTCCCTGCTTTGTTTAAATGGTTCTCCTCCAGGGGGTGGGTGGGAAGAAGTCTAATCTTGACTGATCCAAAGGTGACTCCTCAATCACTTTTTATGTATATATTGATAGACTTAGCGAAGGTTGGCATCCGGGGATCGGAGCAACTGAATTGCCTGACCTCTGAAATTCATTTCCTGAGGAAGCAGAACCAGACTTTGAACGCCATGCTGGAGAAGGGATCCCGAGGTGAGATAGATAATGTGTGTGTGTGTGTGTGTGTGTGTGTGTGTGTGTGTGTGGAGGCTTGATCATTTTCAGTTGGAAAGCAGTAAAGGCACTATGATTTTTTTTTTCCCCCTTTTCCATTTTTGACCTTGTCTTCCAAAGAAGATGAAGATGTTCACCCGGTTGTCCCAAAGGTGCTTTTTCTTGGTTTTTCCTTGAAGATTTTTCGCTTCTCGCCCAAGAAGCTCCTTCAGTTCTTCAAACTTCCTTTGTTTTTCCTTGAAGAGGTTCCTCCAGTTCTTCGGCAACATCCTCAAGGGAAAACAGAGTCCAGTTACTTTTTGAAAAAGCACCTTTGGGACAAGTTGCTTGACCCGTGTCTGTCTGGAACTGGAGCAAAGACAGGGCTGTCCATTGTAGAAGAAAACGCCTGCATAAAGAAAAAGAAGACATAGAATAATTTTCAATATGGGACGTAGTTTATGCTTGGCCGGAAAAAGGGGGTTGTTGTTGTTAGTTGCGAAGTCATGTCCGACCCATTGCGACCCCATGGACAACGTTCCTCTAGGCCTTCCTGTCCTCTACCATCTTCTGGAGTCCATTGACGCTCATGCCTGCTGCTTCAGTGACCACTTCATTCTCTGTCGTCCCCTTCTTCTCTTGCCCTCCATCTTTCCCAGCATTAGGCTCTTCTCCTGTGAGTCCTTCCTTCTCCTTAGGTGGCCAAAGTACTTGAGTTTCAACTTCAGGATCTGGCCTCCTAAAGAGCAGTCGGGGTTGATCTCCTCTAGGATGGACCGGTTGGATCGCCTTGCAATCCAGAGGACTCGCAGGAGTCTTCTCCAGCACCAGAGTTCAAAGGCCTCCATTCTTTGGCGCTCAGCCTTTCTTAGGGTCCCACTTTCACAGCCATACATTGCAACTGGGAAAGCCATGGCCTTGACTATACGCACTTTTGTTGGCAGGGTGATGTCTCTGCTTTTTAGTATGCTGTCTAGATTTGCCATAGCTTTCCTCCCCAGCAAAGGGGGTAGAGATTAGGAATTTAATGCGTATGATTAAGTAAAAAATATGGACCCAGACAACAGGTTGCTTACTAAGCACTTACGATTTGTAAAAATGGAAAATTAATAAAATGTTATGTATCAGAAGGACTTGAGGCTCACCTGGTAGAGAAGCAGAAAGAAAGTGAAGCCTTGCGAGAATCCCTGGCCCAGAAGAGCCTGGCCGTTGAGCGTCTTCAGAAGGACCAGGAGCACCTCAAGAAGGAGAACGAGAAGCTGCGGGAGCAAGTGGGGAAAGGAGAGGCCGAAAACGAGGGTCTGACCCACGAAATCTACAACGTCCGGAACGAACTGAACAGGTGATCCTTAAATCCACGGTGGGAAAAACAGAGAGAACTCCTCACGGGGCAGAATGGGGATGGTGAACCAGTTGTTTCCTAGAAGAGAATCCAAAGAGTCAACCATCCAGCTTTGGTGCTGCTCAAAAAGGCAACTGGACTTCTTTGGTTTTGGTCCTTGAAATGATTTCACTTCTCATCCAAGTAGAACTGAAGAAGCTGCTTGGATGAGAAGCGAAACGTTTTCAAGGAAATGTCTACGGAGATTCTCAGCCGTCCACGTTCATGGTTGTCCTAAAGGTGCTTTTTTCATGAGGCAACTGGACTTCCATTCCTTCTCATCCAAGGAACTTCTTCAGCTTTGACTTGGATGGTGGGCAATGGAAGGATTTATATGCCTTGCACACCGCGGGTCATTTGCACTCTTTCGGAGAGCGGTGGAGGCCACTTGGAGCTTATCAACCCTTCCTTTCCCCATCCTCCAGTCACAGCTGAAGAAGCTTCTTGGATGAGAAGCGAAACGTCCTCAAAAGAAAAAAAACAAGGAAGTCCAATGGCCTCTTGAAAAAGCACCTTTGAGTTTTCAAGGAGAAACAAAACCCAAGAAAGTCCAGTTGCCTTTCTGAGCAGCACCTTTGAGTTGTTTTCCAGATGTTGCTACAGAAAAACTCTCCACATTGTTCCTCAGTGGGTGGGTGGAAAGTCACAGATCCTTTTCCCATGGGTTGAATTTCACGCACAAGCCTGAGAACTAGAGTTAGAATGCAATTTGGCGTTGTGATCTTGCATAGACCTGAAGACCAAATTAGAGGAACGATCCCAGCATCCACTTCCTTAATGGAAAGTCAGGTTTCAGGTTTGAAGGGGAGAACAAACATGGTTGTTAGCGTGGTCAGATCCCTCTTTGTGAGGTGGAATTGTAATCCCACGTTGACTAGTTTGCTTGGGATGTCCCAGGTTGCAGATGGAGCTGGCCACCAAACAGCATCAGTTGTCAGAGAGCGACAAATTGCTGAGTTCCTTGCGAGTGGAGCTGAAGGTGTATGAAAAGTTGGACGAAGCTCTCCGGAATGAAAAAGGTAAAGGAACCAGAAACAAACGGTTCAAATATAGTATAGGGAAACTGGAGGCTAAAGCATATAAAGAACGGTTGCTGGAATTGGGTAGGTCTAGTCTAAGTGAAGAGAAGGACCAGGGGGGACATGATAGCAGTCTCCCAATATCTCAGGGGCTGCCCCAAAGAAGAGGGAGTCAAGCTATTCTGCAAAGCATCTGAGGGCAGGACAAGAAGCAATGGATGGAAACTCATCAAGGAGAGAAGCAATCTAGAACTTAGAAGAAATTTCCCGACAGTGAGAACAATTAACCAGTGGAACAAGCTGCCTCCAGAAGTGGTGACTGTTCCAACACTGGAAGTTTTTAAGAAGAGATTGGACAATCATTTGTCTGAAATGGTATAGGGTTTCCTGCCTGAGCAGGAGGTTGGACTAGAAGACCTCCAAGGTCCCTTCCAACTATTCTGTTCTGTTCTGTTATCTCTTCTCTTCTCTTCTCTTCTCTTCTCTTCTCTTCTCTTCTCTTCTCTTCTCTTCTCTTCTCTTCTCTTCTATTCTCCATGTTCCATACTTTATTCTATTCCATATTTCTATTCTATTCTATTCTATATTCCAATTTCTATTCTATTTTATATTCCAATTTCTATTCTATTCTATTCTATTCTATTCTATTCTATTCTATTCTATTCTATTCTATTCTATTCTATTCTATTCTATTCTATTCTATTCTATTCTATTGCCAAGTGCTTGAATTTTGATTGTGGGGATGCCGCGGTGATTATCAATGTAAAAACTGGTCATCAATCAACTTTTCTTCAGTGCCGTTGTAACTTTGAATGGCCATTAAGCAAACTGTTGTAAGGTTACCTGAACTCTTGAGGCCTGCAACTTTCAATGCAGCGTCTGTCGTTCCATGTTTTGCATATCTCTGGTGAGATTTTGCTAGCTGTTGAAAACTTGCAAGATTGAGCCTGGATTTCTTTTAATGGGGTAGGGCCACCGGAGCCCACCTTGGTAGCCCCTGGCATAAAGTTTGCTCTTTAAGAATTTTGAGTTCCTTGATTTGGGCGATCAGACATCCTGGTTTCAAGCAGAGAAGCTGCCTTTGTTTTTCGCCTCTGTTCACACCCTCCCCTCCTGCATCTCGTAATTAGGACATTTTTCTTACTGTTATTTAATCTTGAGCAAGCTCGTCTTCTCTTCTCACCAGGCTTTCAAACATCCTTCAGAATTTATAAATCTTCTTCACTCCAGCCCTTTAATATACGTAATTTTTGCTCTGGGTATGCAACATTAGCTTTTATAGTCAAAGTGAAAAATAATTTTTGGCTCTTATTAAATCTTCGGAGAGTGAACGCAATTACTACAGAGGGTTATACGTGCATACATGAAGCTGTGTGTGTGCGCGCATTTGTGTGCATGCATTTTTTTTTCTCTGTAAAATCATGATCTACCTACTTTTGGGAGCTGGCTCACATTCTGCATCGTTCAGCATTTTGACCGCCACCATTTATAATAATAATAATAATAATAATAATAATAATAATAATAATAATAATAATAATAATAATGAGATACCTGGTTGACACATAGGAGGCTGGTAGCAACCTGTGTCAACCATCAGCGCCAGCCAATTTGAATGTTCAGTTGACTGAGGTTCATGTCTAATGAATAAAAGATGATGATGATGATGATGATAATAATAATAATGATAATGATAATAATTGGAGAAGATAACAAAAATACAAAGACCTACAAATAGAAATAGAAAGACTGTGGCAAAGGCAAGCAAGGATGGCACCAATAGTAATAGGTTCCTTGGGTGCAATCCCAAAACAACTGGAGCACCACTTGGACACCATTGGCATTGACAAATTCTCCATCAGTCAATTGCAAAAGGCAGCCTTACAGGGAACTGCTTCCATCCTGCGACAAGATCTGTAATACCATCAACCATCCACATCTGCCTATCCCAGGTCCTTGGTAAGGACTTGATAGGTACACAAAAAGCTAAATCCAGTCTGAACATCTGGCTGACTGTGCGATGATCCGTAATAATAATGATGTAATGGTTCCGATAGATGAAACCGTTTAAAAGAACTTCAAGGCAAGGATTTCTTCCTTAAAGAGCATTATTATTATTTATAATAATAATAATAAATTTAATAATAACAATAGAGTTGAAAGGGACCTTGGAGGTCTTCTAGTCCAACCCCCTGCTCAAGCAGGAGACCCTATGCCATTTCAGACAAGTGGCTGTCCAGTTTGATTATTGATTATTTGATTATTTCAAGGCTATTTTCTTTTCCACTCCTGCCCTTCTAGAACTCTTTGGTGCAATTACATTTTGTCTGGCTTTAGAAGAGTTGGTCAACTGGTTCCATGAAAGAGGCTGATAGTTTGTAAGAACCTTGGAGAATAGCTTGACTCCCTCTTCTTTGGGGCAGCCCCTCAGATATTGGAAGACTGCTATCATGTCACCCCTCATCCTTCTCTTCATTAAACTGGACATACCCAATTCCAGCCACCGTTCTTTATATGTTTTAGCTTCCAGTCCTCTGATAATTGTTCATAATAGTAATGGTTTTCTTTTTTTCTTAAACCGCCCGCCCAAAACAACTAAAACCCTTTAGACCGTCGCCAGAATGGAGCAGACGAATGCTGGAAAGATCAGAACCAGCCTCTTGATTTAGGCGAACTGTTGACTGAAATCCAGTTCTTGAGGAAGCAGCTGGAGCAGAGCATCAAGTCCAACCAGATGTTGCATGAAAAAGTAGAAGAGCAGCTGCGTCTAGGAAAGGGGGAGAAGAACTGCTTGGGGCCAGCTGTGCAGATCAGTTACCTTTTCGGTCACGAGTCCCAACAACTTCAGACTGGGATCAACGGTAGGGAGAAACAGCCTTCGGGCATCAATAAAGGAGAATATTTGTAGGGTTGAAATGAGAGATCCTTGGTGCTCTCTGAACTTGGTGGTTCACACCAAAGCCACCATTACCATGGATTGGGCAGGAGGCATCACCCATACATCCTTCCTAGAGATCCTGTGAGCTTTGGGGTGGGTGAGGCTCATGAAGTCTGCTACTGTTTGGGCTGGGGCTGATTGCGAAAGGGGGTTCGTGTTGACCCTCAAAGGGCCATGTTGTCAACTGTCCTGGGACATGATTTTAACAAGAGTATACTACTTTACTGAAAATCTACATTGGCACAGAAGAAGCGAAACCAGCTCTGGTTTTCCTGCTCCAAAGCTTACTTAATGAAACAGTTAGATTCCCTCACCTCCAGCCATTCGTTGTTCAATAGTAATACTTCTTCTTGTTATGGGAAAAGTCCACTTCTCCATCGAGCATCTGTGTTAGTGACCTTGGCATTCTTGCAGGCTCTCAAAGACGCCTCGGTTGCCCAGATACCATCCCACCACCTTTGCATTTGATTTCACCATCTTGTCAAGCTGCGAGCAAGGAAGAAAATCTAAGTGAAATGATAAATCAGTCCTGTAGGGAGAAATAGCATTCGGGCATCAGTAAAGGTGAATATGCTGTGAAGTTTGCGATGGGTGAGGCTTCTGAAGTCTTTTGCTATTTGAGCTGGGGCTGATTGGATTTGTCTTGTTCCTCAGAAGGCCATCTGAAACCTTTGCTCAATAGGCAGGATGTCATCCCGTCTTTGTGTAACTTGTCCTCACCTTCTTATCTTCTCAAAGATTTAGCTCAAGGAAATTGGTGGAGGAGTTGCCTTCCACCGCCAAGCAGTTTTCTGAGTGGAGAATTCAACGGGTCCATGCAAGGTGGTTAGATGGTTTGTGGGGACAAGCTTGATAGAGATGGACTTCACATACTCTTTGCTCTCCCCGTGGCCCTTCAGAATTTTGAGAGCAGCTCCCGAGATTGGATTCTTTGGGAGGAGATATCTCAGAAACCTCCAACGTCTTTCTGAGATATCTCTTCCCAAAGAATCCAATCTAAGGAGCTGTTCTCAAAATTCTGAAGCACCAAGGTGATGGCAGAGAAGCCCAACTTAAAAGCTGAGTAGTTGAACCCAGTTTCCAGTAAACTTTTTCTGAACTGAATAACTTGTTTAAGACAAGAGTCTTGGCTGTGCATTACTTGGCAATGATCAATATGTACTTTGGAGGGTCCATGAATGAATCAAGAAAATTTATGTTGTGTCCTGGGGGAGCATTCTCTCTACTCCCCCCCCCAACTCCACGCTCCCCCACTGCCATTAAATCAAAGTTTCTAACCACCTAAAGCTTAAGGGGAGACAGAAGCATCGGCGTGCCATACAAATTTGAATGGGGAAGGGAACATCTATTGGCACAGAACATAATGGATGCTCCTTAGCTCAGAAGACTTACCGAATAAATATCCCCACCAAGACAGCTGACTTCATCTGATACTTTTGACCTTGTTGAGCCGAGCTGTGGGGAAAAAAAAAATATCTGGATGAAGCAAGCCATCTTAAAAGATTGCAAAAGTAGGCGTGCGTGTCTCAGAGCCATTAACTCCAAGGGGATTAGGAAATGAAGAGAAAGCTAGGTGAGCCTTTGGCCTCTATAATGGAGATGCCCAGCGTTGGTTTTCTTGTTCACTTGAAGGCAGAACAAGAAGCCGTGGAGGGAAACTCATCAAGGAGAGAAGCAACCTAGAACTAAGGAGGAATTTCCTGACAGTGAGAACAATTCACCAGTGGAACTGCTTGCCCTCAGAAGCTGTGGGTGTTCTATCACTGGAGGTTTATAAGAAGAGATTGGACAACCATTTGTCTGAAATGGTGTAGGGTCTCCTGCTTGAGCAAGGGGATTGGACTAGATGACCTCCAAGGTCCCTTCCGACTCTGTTATCCTGTTATTTTGAATTCAAGGGAAGTAGTAAATAAGAAAAAGGAGGCACTAGGACAGGGGTCTTCAGACTTGGCCCTTTGATGACTTGTGTGCCTGGCTGAGAAATTCTGCGAGTTGAAGTCCACAAGCAGGGGTCTTCCAACTTGGCCCTTTTATGACTCGTGGACTTCAACTCCCAGAATTCCTCAGCCAGCGTGCCTGGCTGAGGAATTCTGGGAGTTGATGTCCACAAGTCATAAAAGGCCAGGTTTGAAGACCCCTCCACTAGGAGGACAATCTAGAAGACCTCCAAAATCCCTCCCAACTCTTGTTATTCTGTTAATTTCATCCAGTTCTTTAGAAGAAGAGGAGCCTTCTCCATAAATGAAGACTTTTGATTGCCACCTCTACAAGTTGCGTAGATGGAGGGTAGCTAACCAACATCCTCTCCCATGCTTCCCCTTCAGAGTTGACGTTCAGCACCCTGGACAGCCCCTCCCATTGCAACCTGTTGACCAACAAGGCCAGAGAGATTTGCCCCGTCCCCAGTCACTGCGTGTGGGCAGACAAGAACGGCCAGCATATTCTAGGCTTGATTGAAGATTACAACTGTCTCCGGAAGCAGGTCACGGAAGGGCGGAAGCAACTGTCCAAACTGGAGCTTCCTCTGAAAGAGGCAGAAGCTCTGGATTCTGCGGCGATGGTAAGTGGCGTCGCCGAGACGCTGAATAGGTGGGATTGTTACGGAACCACAGACTTCTACAAGAGTTGAGGACGGAGGGTCAGGCACCAGGGGTTCACGCGACGTTTCCCTAATGGAGAGGAAGGGTAAAATAAGCTGCCCTTGGTCCAGGCGAGCAAAGGAACCTGGCTAATATCTTCCTAGTTTTGCTGTCCTCCTTAGGATCAATTCTCCGGAAGCCTTGGGTTCTCTTAAGCCAGGGATCTTTATGACTTGAGTTGGGAGTGGGCAGATGCCTGCTGTGACGTTCACGATTTCAGCTTAAGCTTCCCAGCAGAGCGCTGTGCTTTAAATCCAATCGAGGAGAGAAGCAACCTAGAACTAAGGAGAAGTTTCCTGACAGTTAGAACAATTCATCAGTGGAACAAACTTGGAGGTCCACAAGTTGTGAATGCTCCAACACTGGGAGTTTTTAAGAAGAGATTACACAAACATTTGCCTGAAATGGTATAGGAATTCCTGCCTGAGCAGAGGGTTGGACTAGATGACCTCCAAGGTCCCTTCCGACTATTCTATTCTATTCTATTCTATTCTATTCTATTCTATTCTATTCTATTCCTTAATTCTATTCTGTTCTATTCTATTCTATTCCTTAATTCTATTCTGTTCTATTCTATTCTGTTCTATTCTATTCTGTTCTGTTCTATTCTATTCTATTCTATTCTATTCTAATTCTACTTACTCTACTCTACTCCAGTCCACTCCACTCCACTCTATTCTATCCCATCCCATCCCTTATCCTATTCCATTCCTTATCCTATATCCTATATCTATCCCATTCCATTTCATTCCTTATCCTATTCCATTCCTTATCCTATCCTATCCTATTCCATTCCTCATCCTATCCTATCCTATCTCATCCCATCCCATTCCATTCCATATCCCACTCCATCCCATCCCATTCCTTATCCTATTCCATTCCTTATCTTATTCTTTCCTATCCTATCCCATCCCATCCCATTCCATTCTATTCCTTCTTCAAAGGGACTCCCATTCAAACCAGAAGGCTTCTAAGTTGCCTTCTGGACATTCTCCACCCCAAACCTTGATCATGGTTAGTTTCTTTCCCCCTTAACATCCTTCCCCACCCGTTCCTCACTTTGGCACTTCTTTTCCTTCGCTCTCTCGTCCATCTGCCGAGGAGCACATTTGGCCTCGGCTCCCGATAGCTCACTCCCCATTAAATGGAAGCGTTTAGAAGGTCTGCTAAGGGAGAAACATCCATAATGCCCCAAATTGACGTCGGGAGTCATTTGACTTTCAAACGACGAGACGGGGAATGCAAAGCAGGAGAGGAGGGGGGTCTGTTTTTCCACGGAGCCCAGTAAATGTAACCCATTATTAATTACCATTATTGATTAGGCTGCATTTCTGCTCCTCCGGCAGCCCCCCTGCCTTCCTCCCGTTCTTGAATAATGCATCCTTTTGCTACCTTTCTATCGGAATAAATTAGTGTTGCCTGACTCACAGTATTCAGACTCATCAGCCCCCAAACTGTAGCAAATTGGATTTGTGCCATTCATTCAAGCTGGCTTTCCTGTTTTTGGGAGGGAGGGGGTCCACCCCACCTCCCCTTCCCCCCCCCCCGAGATTAAAACCTTTCTCATCTTCTCTCTCCCGATTTCTCCTTCCCCAGGTTCCTCTGAGCAGTTTGTCTGCCACCTTCAGGGCGGTCCAGCAGAACCTGGAAGAAGCGGCCCGCCTGTTGACCCTCCTCTGGAGGGTCTCCTTGCCAATGAAAGTGGTCCACGCTGCAGCTTACTCCCTTCAGGTTAGGCTCCGGGTGGGTAGAAAGGAGGGTGGGTTAGGGTTAGGGGTTTCAAGCCTCCCAAAAGCTGGAGAGAGGGGATCATGATAGAGGCATGATCCTCCTGACCAGATTGGAACTCCTGGACTTCCCCTGAAGTGATTCTAAACCTAGAGCAGGGATAGGCCACCTTGGCTCTTTTATGACTCGTGGACTTCAACTCCCAGAATTCCTGAGCCGGCTATGCTGAGGGGAAAGGGAGAGGTTTCCAAGCTGAGCCATGCTGGCTCAGGAATTCTGGGAGTTGAAGTCCACGAGTTATGAAGGGGCCAAAGTTTCCCTCATGCTGGCTCAGGAATTCTGGGAGTTGAAGTCTTCCCCACCCCTGATCTAGATCATGATTTGATGAATTTAGATCAAGGGTAGGCAACCTTGGCTCTTTTATGTGGTGGACTTCAACTCCCAGAATTCCTGAGCCAGCCACGCTGAGGGGAAAGGGAGAATTTCCAAGCTGAGCCATGCTGACTCAGGAATTCTGGGAGCTGAAGTCCACGAGTCATAAAGCGGCCTAGGCCAGAGATAGGCAACCTTGGCTCTTTTATGACACGTGGACTTCAACTCCCAGAATTCCTCAGCCAGCATCACCTTCCGCCATAGTTGCACCTGGTCCAGCTTTGGGAAGGCCAGCACCCATCGTGCAAAGGAAAGCTAACCCGCCTCCTTGCTCTGCAGGACGAAAGCCTGAAGTCCGAGGTCCTCAAACTCCGTCGGAAAGTGGCCGAACAGGAGAAGAAGCTCTACAGCATGGCCAGGCGCTTGTATTCCACCAGCCAGCTCAAAGAAAACATGGAGAGGGTCATCATAGATCAGTGTGAGTGGGGGAGGGGTCTTCCATCTGCCCTGCTCTTTGTCCTGCTTCTGGGCGTCACAGTGGCCTCAATGGGCACTGAAGGTTGACCTAGATCAACCCCATGGTCTAAACTGGTGCCATTTCCCTTCTGGACAATCATTGGTCTAAAATGGTATAGGCAGGGTCTCCTGCCTGAGCAGGGGGTTGGACTAGAAGGCCTCCAAGGTCCCTTCCAACGCTGTCATTCTATTCCTAATCTGTTCTACTCTACTCTACTCTACTCTACTCTACTCCCTTCCAGCTCTATTCTATTCTATTCTATTCTATTCTATTCTATTCTATTCTATTCTATTCTATTCTATTCTATTCTAATTTCTATTCTATTCTAATTTCTATTCTATTCTATTCCATCCCATTTCTATTCTATTCTATTCTATTCTATTCTATTCCATCCCATTTCTATTCTATTCTATTCTATTCTATTCTATTCTATTCTATTCTATTCTATTCTATTCTATTCTATTCTATTCTATTCTATTCTATTCTATTCTATTTTCTATTCTATTTTCTATTCTATTCTATTCTATTCTATTCTATTCTATTCTATTCTATTCTATTCTATTCTATTCTATTCTATTCTATTCCATCCCTATTCTATTCTCTTTTCTATTCTCTTTTCTATTCTATTCTATTCTATTCTATTCTATTCTATTCTATTCTATTCTATTCTATTCTATTCCATCTCTTTTGTATTCTATTCTGTTCTGTTCTATTCTACCCATTTTTTAATGGCAAATCCCACAGTTGTAAGTCCGAATCTGCTCTCCCAAATGGGTTTTTTTGGGGCCATTAGATAGATAAAATAACTTTTATTGTCCTTTTTTTGTTTTGCTGTGGGCACCTTGGCAGCTGTTAAAAATGAAATTTTTACATAATAATACCCATTAAACATCAAAAAATGTTAGAACATTAAACACCTGGTCGTAAGTTGAGGACTCTCCCCTGGACGCCTAGGGGAAATACACCTTCTCAAGCCAAACCAACTCTCTTTCTCTTTGCAGTGGCGTTGACGCACAACGTTTTAAAAAAGGCCAGAGGGAACCTCGAAGTAAGTAAAAACACTCACACACACACACCCATCCTCCTTCCAATTTTGACTTTCCTTCTTCCTTTTTCTGCAAGTCATCTGGTCTTCTGAATCACCCATCTTGCAAAAAATAAAACATTAAAAAAAAAAGATAATTGGGATCTGGAAAACCGATTCACCACTCCTGTCTTGGAGAAGGAGCTTCAGATTCCCTCTTCTCCGTTCAACCAATCATTGGGCCTCGGTTGTGCTTTCCGACTGGTCCATAACGGTGACGGTTGTAAACTGATTGCCTCTTCCAGGGTCTGCGTTCTCCTTCATTCCGCTTCCTTCTTTGGCGGCCGTCCAGCGTTAAGAATCTTTCGCCCCATAAGTCAAATCATCAACTTTGGCAGGGGGGGAGAAGACGGGATGGCCGAGAAGAAGGAAAATTATTCGACTTCTCAAAAATTAGCAGGCTGGAAAGACCGAAGCTTAGCAATCTAGCATATCAGGGGAAAAAAAAAAGAGATTCCCCCCCTTATTTTGGTTGCTGTTTTTCTACAGAATCTTGGTTGACCCTTTCTGGGGTAGCCATTCTTTATTTCGGCTGGGGTCATATTTATTGGCAAGTTTCTTAAGTCTGAGACGGGCAGATAAGTCTTTTCCCGGTCCTGCTTGGGAAATTTTTCTACACTGGGAGTCTTCAAGCTTGGCCCTTTTGTGGACTTCAATTCCCAGAATCCCTCAGCCAGACATGCCTGGCTGAGGAATTCTAGGCGTTGAAGTCCTACAAGTCATCAAAGGGCCAAGTTTGAAGACCCTTGTTCTACATGGTGGCACCTCCTAGCGCACAGTCAGAAATCCCACTACACCGGAGAAAGAGGTTGTTTAGTTGTGGCTGTGATGGCCCCCTTCATGCCAAACCGTGCTTTATTCCCCAGGTCCAGCCCTCAGAGAACAAAGCCACCCCTTCTAGCCTCGTCAAGAAAAGGGTTTAAGCGAAGGCTCCAGGTCCTACAATAAAGACCATGTTCCTTTGCCGAGCCGATGCTTATGACTGCTTCTTTACCTCCAAGGCCTTAACGTTCCTTCCATTTGCACCTGACTACTCCAGCATTTTCTACCCCGATGTCTTCTGGATATCCAGACCGCGACGTTCTTTTCTTCACCGGCCCCGGGGATGGGTAAATTTTCTCTGGCTGGGCCGGAGAAACGCTGTGTGAAAATGGTGGCACTTTCCATGCCAGTGGCATGAAGACGGATCTACTGGCAGAAATGTCCATGAAGGCACAGTTAATTCGGGCAGGCTGAGTTTTTGATGTGTGGGGAACTTGGAGGCGCGTGTGAAGGTAGATAAAAGCATTGTGATCTTTTGCTTGAAAGTCTAGGCTAAAAACTTAACTTCTGATCTGCATCGCCCCAGCCAATCCGAGCGGGCACCGAAACGAAAAGGAAATGGAGAAGTTGGCTTGCTCGCGACGAGTTGCTCTGATCCCCCCACCCTGCCCTCTCCATCCCATAATTGCAGAATCTTGCATTTTTTCTTTGCAGCCCAGATGGAGGAGTTAGACTCACTTAAACCACAAAAATTGGTTGCTCCTGAGCCCCAGGGGTTCTTTTTCAACTGACTTTCTGATTTTTCTTTGAAGATCTTTTTCGCTTCTCATCCAAGAAGCTTCTCCAGTTCTGCTGAAGATCTGCTGAAGTTCTTCAGAACTGAAGAAGCTTCTTGGATGAGAAGTGAAACGTCTTCAGGGGGGACAAAAACCAAGAAAGTCCAGTTGCCTCTTGAAAAAGCATCTTTGGGACAACTCTGACCTGGATAACTAAGAATCTCCATAGACATTAACCATGTTTGCAAAAGTTAACTGTTGAATATGGGGGGGGGGACCTGCCTTTGAGGTGGAAAAGTCTTTGCTCATTGGGTTGTAAGTAGGACTTTTCCATCATTCAACTGCAAATGACATTCTGCTTCCCCACTAGAGTAACTGTATCTATATTGCCGCTTGTCATCTTGCCTGCTTCGACAATGTGCAACTTTATAAAGTTCCCCCACTCGGATTCCCATGGACCGGAAAAGTAGCCCATAAAGTTGACAAGGTCCATCTTTAAATGCCTTCTCCATCCCAAACTGGAGAGTAGATTCCAGTTGGGCTTTAGATGTTGTCCTTTGAGAAGACCCAGAGTTCCCGATAGTTCCCCAATGGCATGGCTGAAATTTGGAACCCCCTTTTGACCTGGTTCAAAACCACAGGAACCAAACTCCTGCAAAACCTGGGTCAGAAGGTCCAAACATTCCAGGTCCATTGCTGATGAGCACCTCCCATTGTCCTCCTGTCCTCATTAAACTGTTAAAAAAAAACAAACATAATTCAAAGTATGATTTTCATTTAAAAAATGGCCACCCTATAATATCCCTTGCGAGCATTCTTGCATCTAAACCATTCCTGTAGATTATTTTAGGATGTCTTGATTGTCTGTGATATATTTCTTGTTTGCTATGGCATCAGACTTGTTGTATAACTAGCATTTTAGAGAAGTCCTTTTAAAGGTAGGATTTAAAAGAAGTATTTATATGTCGAAGTCTCAGTTGGGTACGCCAAAGTCAATGGAAAATGGGTGATCAAGCCGTCCTAATCAACCTGGATGTTTCTCAGAGTCTTATCCCAATATAATTTAAATTCCATGATATTGCTTATCCCTATCTTCTCCTTCCCAGACTGATAACTTTTTTCATATTAGGAAAAAAAAATAGCAAGTGAAGCAGCCCTTAGGAACCTAGCAAGATTAAACCGTCCTAGGCATCAAAATGTCTTAATTTTTCCTGAGACCCCTCCAGGCAATTAGTGCTAGCAGGAATACTAAGCAGAAATAATTAAAATGATAACTGGATGTTTGGTTGGGTTTTTTTTCAGACAGCCAAGGAAATGTAGAACGCTAAGGTAGAAAGCTACATTTTTTTCTCATTGCATGGCAGATAGGAGAAGGACAACTGAGTCCATGAGCAAATTTGGTGGAGCAGAGATGGTTCTCCTTGGTGCATGTTTCTGGAATTTGCCAGGGGTCTGAATTGCGTTAGTAGACCAGATCAAGGGATCTACATTGGCTTGAGAACAGATGCTGTTGGACCACAGATCCCATCATTTCAACATTGGCCTCACTTGGTGGGACCTTTAATGATACCTGACAGCTTGTGTGTCAACCATCTCTTTGATGCTTTGATCTGTTGAGGACACCTTATTTCTCTCCAGAAATTACTATAAAGGTGAGTAGTTACTGGGGGGGAAAAACTCTGAAAAATCAGAACTTCTAGATAGCCTTCAACTTTTCAGCATGGAATAAATTATTTCCCCATAAAATCTCCTTTCTGTCTCGGCTTACATCTGGACGGCTGGATTCCAGCTTTTTTTTTATTGCTTTGTTTTATACGGTACACAGCTAATATATTCCCTCCCCCCTAACTTAAAACATGTGTGCGTACGGAGGGATGGATGGATTTATGCTCCGGCTGAGTTGTATGTAGTAAAAGTGTAAGACGAGGAAATTGGTTTCAGAAACAAGATGTTAAGGTCCATCTTTACAGTTCAATAAATGGATCACTTGTTGTGCTGTTTGTGTTTTTTTTTTTTTTTGTCTGAAATTACCACGGACCACCTTGAACTTCTCAAAAATCTACATTTGATCCCTTTATTTTTCTTTGTTCATAAATACTTTAAGCCACCTGAAAAGTGTATTTTTGAGGTTTGATGGCTAATAACACCACTTTTTTTGGGAGTAGTACCATAAAATTATATATCAAGGGAAAGATAATTTAAACAAGAATATAATGCGACATAGTTTGTTGAATTATCTGTACTGTGTTCTATGAAAAGTTGCAGCCAAAGCACCAGAAAAAAGGAAGCACAACTTGTTTAGGTTGATCTCAGGTAGCTTTCCTTCATCGGATTGTAGCCAATGACCATGAGTGTTTAGAGAGCCAATCAGGTGTCATCTTGTTTTGGTAATGAGCCAATCAGATCATGGTAGGATCCAGTTATTGATGTCCTGTATTGAAGTTGAGAGGAGGACATTTGTCGGTGTGTTATGTGATGGCTATCAAGTTGGTTGGGGTTTTTTTTGGTGTTCTTTCATTTAGTGAGCTTGTAAAACGTAATAAAATTAAAGTCATGGTGCAAAGAGTTGACGGGTCGCCCAGAAAGCGATGTAAAATAGTATTATCAAGTGAACAAGGCTACAGTTGTAAAGAAATTAGAAGAAAAATGGGTGGAAACTTAATCAAAGGTGGCATTTCTACTGTACACGTTTCCCAAAAGATTTCCACAATTTTGGCCACTGCTGTAGTCCTCGACTTACAGCAGTGCATTTAGCGACCAAAGTTACGACAACGTTGGAAAAAAGTGACTTATAATCACGTTTCACATTTACGACCGTCGCAGCATCATGTGATCAAAATTCAGACGCTTGGCAAATGGTTCATATTTATGACCGTCGTAGCGTCCCTGGAGGGGGGGTCACACGATCCCCTTTTGATCTTCTGACCAGCAAAGTCGGGGGGGGGACCCAGATTCACCTAAGAACCGTGTTCCTAACTTACCATCTGCAATGATTCATTTAACAACGGTGGTAAAAAGAATTCGTGGGAGGAAGAGGCTAAAGAAGCGATTCCTCTGTAATTGCCGAGGAAATTAAGGAAAGGCATTTTACGGAGGGGGGGGGACTTAGCAGGTGGAACTTTTTTCCTTCTTCCCCTGCAAAATTCTGACCTAATTAATTTAAACACCGCCGTGGAAATCGCTCCCACCCACCCACCCCCCAGTGAAAAAAAACCCTGGGGGAAAGAGCAATATTTTAATTTTAATGACTCTAACCTAGAATCGTTTGGCGAGGAAACCAGAAAAGAACGGTTTGGGGAAATCAAACTAGCTTTGAGACCAGACTCTTGACATGGAATAAACGGTGGGGATTTTTTTTTCCCCGGCTATATATATATATATTTTAAAAAACCTGGAAATGCAGCACTTCCAATTCATCCACGCCAATGCACAGGATGGCATAAGGAGCCACGAGAGAAAACACCGCCAAAGTTTCTGCCCTTTAAATATCTCTTGCCTGAAAAATGCAAATCGCTACCTGATTTAAGTATTCATATATCCAACAATTTTACAGCCCTGGAAATTAAAGCTGGGCTCTTCGTGATTAATCAAAGAATAACCAAGCTGAAGGGTGTGTGTGTGTGTGTGTGTGTGTGTGTGTGTGTGTGTGTGGAGGGGGGTATCGGGAAACCTCTTCTGATTAGGTGGAAATGAAAGCATCACAAAACTACTCAGCTCATTGCTAACATGTTCGTTCCTGGGTTGAATTAAGGGCAAGGTAGGATGAGGTTCTAGTGAACGTCCATCACTGGAGGGTTTCAGCAAGAGACTGGGCAGCCAGTTGTTTGGAATGGTCTAGGGCAAGGGTCTCCGAACCTGGAAGCTTTTAAGACCTATGGACTTCCAGCTCCCAGAATTCCCCAGCCAGCCTGGTTGAACTGAAGTCCACAAGTCTTAAAACACAGAACTACTCAAGAGTAAAGAAAATACTGAGCAGAGGTGAGCCCTATTGGTGAAGAGAAAGGAGAACGTAGTAGATCAGGGGTCTCCAAGCGTGGCGACTTTAAGACTTGTGGACTTGGCTGGGTGGGTGGGTAATTCTGGGAGTTGAAGTCCTAATTTTCCATTCCATTCCATATTGTATTCCTTAATTGTATTGTATTGTATTCTATTCTATTCTATTCTATTCTATTCTATTCTATTCTATTCTATTCTATTCCTTAATTCTATTGCTTAATTCTATTCTATTCTATTCTATTCTATTCTATGCTATTCCTTAATTCTATTCTATTCTATTCTATTCTATTCCTAATTCCATTCCATTCCATTCCATTCCATATTCTATTCTATTCTATTCTATTCTATTCTATTCTATTCTATTCTATTCTATTCTATTCTATTCTATTCTATTCTATTCTATTCTATTCTATTCTTGTAATGTAAAAAGCAACACAATCCCTGGCAATCTAAGAGGAAATTATCTCTATTGGATTTATTTCATTTTAAATGCATCGCCCCCTCATCTCCAGCCCCTGCATTAGAGATAGGGCCTTTCATCTATTGAAATGGCAGGACACCAAGAAGTTTATTTGATGCATCGCCTTGGTTCCAGACTGCACGAGCCCATATAACATAATCCAGATGGCTGCTTGATGCCTGTTTATTGGTTTTTTTTTTTTTTTTTACTCTCTCTTTAAGCCAGAGGTCCTGGAATCGAAACCCGGAGCCTTTTGCAAGCCACCGATCCATGGACAGGTGGTGGTGAGTAAGGACGTTCTCCTGCCTTGAGGCCTTCCTGGTTTTGCAGAGTTTTATCTGCAAATGAGGCTGGACAAGCCAAAAGATACGGCTATTCTTGATAAGCTGGTATCCGACAGAGCTTTAGGACGCAAGCTGGGCTGTGCGTCATTCCAGGACGGGGAAGGTTTCGACGTCCAACGGGCGGGAATGGTCAACGCAGACACGACCGCCGCAGAACCGTAGAATGGCAATCTTTAAATTATATTTTTCCCCCAAAGATGCTTAGAACTTACATCATTGAATTATAAAGCGATCTGGCAGCTTTTATTGATGATGTGGAATGCGCCTGACAGATGCATTTACACTAGATAAGCGTTCAAGTAGCTGGTGTAATGCTTATTAGTTTAGTCGTCAGGCAAAACAGCAGATTGAATGAATTGGGGTGTAGGAATGTAGGATATTTGCTGCCTTTCCCCCCCCCCTTGTTTTTTTTGTGGGGTGGGGAGAGGCTGTTTCTCTCCCCCCCCCCATGCTTACCGTCTGCTAAGCAGCTGGGATTTCCAAAAAGGAAAGAAGAAATAATCAAAATGCACGTCAAAACAGGTGGGAATTCTAGACGACCTGCAAGCTGAAATAAAGAGAGAGAAAATAATCAACTCCAGTTCAGTACACAGGAGAGGATCCTAAAGGTGCTTTTTCAAGAGGCAAGGAAAGAGGCCACTTGCTTTGTTTTTCCTTGAAGACCTTTCACTTCTCGTCCGAGAAGCTTCTCCAGTTCTACCATCCTTACATTCCTCACCATTCAGTCAGAACTGAAGAAGCTGCTCCGGATGAGAAGGGAAATGTCTGAAAAAAGCCCCTTTGGGACAACCATGATCTGGATGACGGAGAATCTCCAGAGACACGTAGTAGAGACCTTATTTCAAATAACTTATGGTCCGGTGCGTCAGCAGCATCCTTGGACTCGTGGCTCATGTCAGATCACAATTTAATTGCCACATCTTAAACAGATTTGGCTTATTTCCAGCATCTAAGATGTTTTCTGGTTGCAACCCGTAACCACCACAGCTCCTGGTTGGGTCCTACTTTTGTTGTTGTTAGTTGTGAAGTCGTGTCTGACCCATCGCGATCTCATGGACCACGTTCCTCTAGGCCTTCCTGTCCTCTACCATCTTCTGGAGTCCATTGAAGCTCACGTCTCCTGCTTCAGTGACTCTATCCAGCCACCTCATTCTCTGTCGTCCCCTTCTTCTCTTGCCCTCCATCTTTCCCAGCATTAGGCCCTTCTCCAGGGAGTCCTTCCTTCTCATTAGGTGGCCAAAGTACTTGAGTTTCAACTTCAGGATCTGGCCTTCTAAAGAGCAGTCAGGGTTGATCTCCTCTAGGACTGACCGTTGGATCGCCTTGCAGTCCAGGGGACTCGCAGGAGTCTTCTCCAGCACCAGAGTTCAAAGGCCTCCATTCTTTGGTGCTCAGCCTTTCTTAGGGTCCAACTTTCACAGCCATACATTGCGACTGGGAAAACCACTTACATAAACATCCAGAGTTTCATCAGCAACTATTGAGGTGGGATGGGAACGCGGCCTCTGTTTGACAGTCAAAATAAAAAAAGTTTGACTGAATATATCTTTGCTCTAATCTAACCGGGTTGATAACATTCTTAAATTTTCAGTAGTTAGGTCAATTAAACTGCTGAAAGGATGAGAGAGAGGCAATTTCCCACCTCGCGTAGGAGACAAGTCCCCCCGGCCGTTTAATTTAACGTGGCTTGAAAACCTTTGCCTGGAGTTCTCTACTCAAAAGCTGTAAACAACAACTTCCCCATCACACAGATGTAAGCTGCAATTTTAATGTCGGATGGAGCACCTTCTGGCATTTGCCAGGAGGGCGTCCTTTATAAGTACACATTTCTGTGAGCAATCGTAGCAATTAGTTGCTCGTTTGGAGAGGGTGCCATAATTATGAGGAGAAGCTTCTGCTTATTTATGATATTAAAGATTGGGAAGGAGTTTACAAAAATGGAACTCGCTAACAAAAAAAAAAAAAAAACAGTCAATGTTAATTTTGAGCCAGTTGGAAAACAGAAAAGGAAGCGTCGTGTGGGTGTGGGTGGGATAGCTATCCATCTGACTGTCCATATATCCATCCCTACCATCTGTCTCTCATCTTTCCATACATTTATCATGTACTATCATGTATCATCTATCCATCCATCGTATCTTCTATCTACCAGTTCTCTCTCTCTCTCTCTCTCTCTCTCTCTCTCTCTCTCTCTCTCA